CAGAGCCCCAAAGAAGCCAGAGCCCCAAAGAAGCCAGAGCCCCAAAGAAGCCAGAGCCCCAAAGAAGCCAGAGCCCCAAAGAAGCCAGAGCCCCAAAGAAGCCAGAGCCCCAAAGAAGCCAGATTAGTCTCGATGAAATAAACATAGACTTCTCAAGCTGCATAGAGGCACAATCTTAAGTCTTGCTTGCCCTGTGCGTAATATATCCTCAGTACGCCACTGGAGGGTGCCTGATTCGGCGATTGTTGGACAAGGGCGCCGCTTCAGTGCTTGGCGTGGGTTTTCTTTTGCTTAGATCAGAAACGCCAATGGGTGGGTGGGGGGGGGGGTTAAAGGGGATAAACTCGGAAGTTAGAGTAATTAAACTGTCACCAAAGTCTCCCGTAGCAATATAAGATCTAGTGGTAGCATACCCAACCGAGTAGCACGACCACCTGAAAGCAGAGAACCTAATACTTTTTTTATTATTTTTGGTGGGACGAGTTGGGGGGGGGGGTGGAGTTTAGGGTATAACAGAGTTGGGGGGTGGTGGAGTTTAGGGTATAGCAGAGTTGGGGAGTGGTGGAGTTTAGGGTATAGGAGATTTGTGGGGTGGTGGAGTTTAGGGTATAGCAGAGTTGGGGGGTGATGGAGTTAAGGGTATAGCAGAGTTGGGGGTGGTGGAGTTTAGGGTATAGTAGAGTTGGGGGTGGAGTTTAGGGTATAGCAGAGTTAAACATAATACTCAAACATACAACAAATAAATCATAAATACCCCCTCCCACTCCAACTTCAAAAACATTTCCCACAGCTAAAATTATCCGCCAGTAACGCCTCTGCTGTTATCTAGCATGTTCTGCCCCTGACAGCAAATGGGAAGACCACCAGTTTAAGAGCTGCCACTCAACCTACTTAGCAATGTCATTGCAGGCCACTTCACTTTCGGCCTTGAACTTGTAGATTTTACCTAGACCCAGATATTTCTTGGTCATAGCAACATTGGGATTACAAACTTTCACTTATGTCAATCTCATGTGTATATGTATCATAGTGTGTATGTATGTTAGAGACCGACCGAATTTAGGCTTCGGCTTCGGTTTCGGCGCCGAAAGGAGCCATTTTATCACTTTCGGCCAAGTTTCGGTTTCGGCCGAAACTGAAAGTTAACTTTGAGCTTAATTTCGGTTTCGGCCGAAAGAGAAAAGTTAAATTTCGGGTTATTTTCGGTTTCGGCCGAAATTGACTTAGACTTTCGGCCGGCAGATGGCCGAAAGTGACTGAGGTTTTCGGTCATCTAATACTCAGTGAAAGCGAAATTTAACTACAAACTAAGCGATAATTAAGAACAAACTAAACGATCTTTAAGAAAAATTAAGCGATCTTTAAAAACAAACTAAATGATCTTTAAAAACAAATAAAATGATCTTTAAAAAGAAATAAAACGATCTTTAAGAACAAATTAAGCGATCTGTGAGAACAAACTAAACGATATTTAGCAGCAAACCAAGCGACATTTAAGGACAAACTAAACGATCTTTAAAACAAACTAAGCGATCTTTAATAAAAAAAATAAACGATCTTAAAGAACAAACTAAGCGATTTTTAAGAACGAAGTAAAGGATCTTTAAGAACAAAACAAATGATCTTTAATAGTAAACTAAATAATTTATAAGAATAAACTAAGCGATCTAGAAAACTAAATGTTCTTTAGGAACAAACTAAAAGATCTTTAAGAACAAACTAATCGATCTTAAGGAACAAAATCAATCATCTATAAGAACAAACTAAGCGATCATTATGAAAAAAACTAAGCGATCTATAACAACAAAATAAGCGATCTTTAAGAACAAACTAAACGATTTTTAATAACAAACTAAAATATTATTTTAAAAAATTAAATGATCTTTAAGAACAAATTGAATGATCTTTAAGAACAACTAAGTGATAATTAAGAATAAAATGAATGATCTTTAAGAACAAACTAAGCGATCTTTATGAACAAACGTAACGATCTTTTAATAATACAAACTAATTGCTCTTTAAGAAAAAAACTTAGCTATCTTTTTTGAACAAACTAAATGATCTTTAATAACAAACTAAAAGATCTTTAAACAAAAACTAAGCAATCTTTAAGAAGAAACTAAGCGAGCTTAATAAACAAAATGAACGATTTTTACAACCAACTAAGCAATCTTTATTAACAAAATAACCGATCTTTAAGAACAAATAAAGCGATCTTTAACAAAAAACTGTACGATCTTTAACAAGAAACTAAAGGAATCTTTAACAACAAACTAAACGATCTTTAACAACAAGATGTTATATTAGAGGTTTATTTATTAATATTCACGATGATCTCAATTTTTAATAAAAAAGAATGTAAATATTTATACTTTCCGCTATCATTTTCGATGTATGCAGGATGTATGCGGGAACGAATTTCAAAATATCTAAATATTTCATTTTCGGTTTCGGTTTCGGCCGAAAGTCATTTTTAACTTTCGGGCTTTTTTCGGTTTCGGCCGAAAGTCATTTTTAACTTTCGGCCTATTTTCGGCTTCGGCCGAAAGTCATTTTAAACTTTCGGTTTATTTCCGGCTTCGGCCGAAATCAGAAAATCACTTTCGGTCGGTCTCTAATGTGTGCGTCCTAGTCTTGTGAGTGTGTGTGTCATGTGTGTGTTTTGTGTGTATGAGTGTGAGTCTTAATCTTTTGTGTGTGTGTGTGATAAGCATTAACATTTAATCTAAGTACCACGGTAAAACAAAATGATTGAGCGATTGTCTATGAAATAACATGAGACCATAAAAGAGTAGCTTTAAATACACCGCTGAACAATCTGCCATGTATCTAGGTCTGCGACTAAGTTTGATCGGGGAGCGTCTTGGAAGACCCAGGGAGTTGACCCAGGGATATCGAGTAGTTACAGGTTGTCATTATTTTATCATGGTATGCAAAAATGGCCTCTATTTGATACTACAGAATGTCATTATTTTATCATGGTATGCTACAAATGGCTCCTATCTGATACTGCAGAATGTCATTATTTTATCATGGTATGCAAAAATGGCCTCTATTTGATACTACAGAATGTCATTATTTTATCATGGTATGCTGCAAATAGCTCATATCTGATATTGTATAATGTCATTATTTTATCACGGTATGCTAGAAATGGCTCCTATCTGATACTGCAGACTTTATCAAAACAACAAGACACAGATCACGTTTTATTAGGAAAACTTTTTGTAAGAAAAAAATTAAATTATCTAGAGGTTTAGTTAAATACAAAAATATTTTTCGTGGAGTACCAGTAATGTTAACAATATGTTCCCCTGTTCGCTCTTTGCCCTCTCAAATGAGATATTTGATAAAATCACAATGGGAATTGATTGACCATATTGATGTCCGAACGACAGCTTAAGGTTAAAACTGACATTCTAGCAAATAAAAATTACTTAAGATATTACAAACATGTCCGAAGCCCTCATCTCCAAAAAGGTTCAACAGTTTTGCCAAGCAGGCCGTACTTGGTGAAGTGGTTTGTGAAGCAGGCCGAACTTGTTATAGCGGTTTGTGAAGAAGGTCGTACTTGGTGAAGTGGTTTATGAAGCAGGCCGAACTTGTTATAGCGGTTGGTGAAGAAGGTCGTACTTGGTGAAGTGGTTTATGAAGCAGGCCGAACTTGTTATAGCGGTTTGTGAAGGAGGTCGTACTTGGTGAAGTGGTTTATGAAGCAGGCCGAACTTGTTATAGCGGTTTGTGAAGAAGGTCGTACATGGTGAAGTGGTTTATAAAGCAGGCCGAACTTGTTATAGCGGTTTGTGAAGGAGGTCGTACTTGGTGAAGTGGTTTGTGAAGGAGGCCGAACATGGTGAAGTGGTTTATGAAGCAGACCGAACTTATTGTCATGGTTTGTGAAGCAGGTCGTACTTGGTCAATTGATTTGTGAAGCAGGTCGTACTTGATGTACTAGTTTGTGAAGCAGGCCTCACTTGATGTAGTGGTTTGTCAAGCTCAAGTTTTACCTTACCAAGGTTTTCAAATGTCCAGCTTTGGCAACTCTATGTGGGAATAATAGTGCAGGCAATAAAACCAATGGAAGTTGGAATTTCCCATAATGGCACTCTGTCCTAGGTCATGCTGGAATATAGCTATTTTTGGATCAGTCTTAAACTTGACCTTGTTATGACTAGCTTAGCTATCATGTTAAAAGAAAATTGTGTAGATTGTACTTATCTTAAAAGACTTATGTTAACATTCCTTTAAACGGTGAACATTAACTCAACATTTCAATTTTAGATGGCATGTATAAGGTGCTCTTTTTGCTATGTATAAGCTGGTCTATGTGCCTTGTATAAGCTGGTCTATGTGCTATGTAAAAGCTGGTCTCTGTGCTATGTAAAAACTGGTCTATGTGTTATGTAAAAGATGGTATATGTGCTATGTAAAAGCTGGTCTATGTGCCATGTATAAGCTGGTCTATGTGCTATGTAAAAGCTGGTCTATGTGCCATCCAAAAGCTGGTCTATGTGCTATGTAAAAGCTGGTCTATGTGCCATGTATAAGCTGGTCTATGTGCTATGCAAAAGCTGGTCTATGTATAAACTGGTCTATTTATATTGGATAAGCTAGTCTATTTATTATGGATCAGCTGGTCTATGTGCTATCTATAAGCTGATCTATTTATCATGGATAAGCTGATCCATTTATTATTGATAAGCTGGTCTATTTATTATGGATAAACTGGTCTAGCGAGAATAGACAAAATGTAATGCTCGAGTTGATATGATATACAAAACTTCAATAAACTGTTTACATAAGCTGGGAATGACAACATGTGAATGCTCAAGTTGATAGAAAAACTTTTGTGACAATGTTTGTAGACTCTGTAGTGGACAAAATGTCTTTATTCTTATGTTAACTGATCTCTAGCAGTATTAGCAGGGCTCCTGGAGCTTAAAGTAAGACCAAGTAAATTCTTCCTTAAAAAAAAATTGTATTCACAAGTGCATTAGCATCATTTTCCAGGTATTTATTTGGCCATAAAATTTACAATTTGAACAAACATTTAAACGTTTTCACGTGAATTATTTTATTTTTCAAAAATACTACATAAACTGATAATGACATAATAGTTGTTCTCAAATATGAAATAAAGCTCCTATGATATAGAGGGCTATTGAATCATTTTGTTCAATTTAGAATCTGTGGCAAAACCCCACAGGAAACGGCTCAGAGGCAGACCTATGCTTAGATGGATGATGCGGAGAGGGATCTACAGCAGCTGGGAATCCAAGCATGGAAAAGAAAAGGTCTGCGTCTGAGTGGAAGGATGTGGTGAGGCAGGCCAAAGCCCTACATGGGCTGTAGCGCCACATGGTTCAATGGATGAAAAGTCTGGGTTTTGCATCCTTTGATAACATTCTGAAGTGGGCAAAGTTTTGTGACATGATTTTCACATCATCAATCTGGCCAGGGTTTCAAAGAATATTGACACATTTGAGTCTAAATTGGATACATCAATCTAAATTCCAGAGAACAGTCAACAAGTCAGTTGGATTGTTTCCTTTGTTTCTTGGGTGGACTTTTTCCTGCTTTGTTGCCGTGAGATGCCTTGGATTTACTGCTAGATGACTTTTCTTCTGATGTCTCTTTCTCGTCGCTATTCTTAGATTTTCTTTTCGTTACTTTTGCATCTGTGAGATAACATAGACATTTCAGTAATAGAAACTTTTTTTTAAACCTTTATTTTTTAAACGCAAACTTCCCCAACATTGGCATTTATACGACACATAAAGTTTGCTTTGTTAAACCTTGCACTGTGATCATTTAGGTTCATGTTTAAAAAAATAAATAAAAAATTTCATTTTAAAGGCAGAGGCTACCACGTCTATGACAATAAACTTCAGGATTAAAGCTTCCGAATTTGCTAATCAAGGTCAAGAAAGGTGAAGGTCAAGGGGACCCCTCATGTTACTTTCGGCATATTCTAGAAAAATTATTGCTTTTACCCTAATACATTAAACATGTGTCCTCAAACAAGTATACGCTGTCCAGGTATTTCTTGACTGCAATTGTTTAAAGTACCAAATGTCAAGTATATGCTGTCCAGGTATTTCTTGACTGCAATTGTTTAAAGTATCAAATGTCAAGTATACGCTGTCCAGGTATTTCTTGACTGCAATTGTTTAAAGTACCAAATGTCAAGTGTATGCTTGTCCAGGTATTTCTTGACAGCAATTGTTTAAAGTACCAAATGTCAAGTGTACGCTGTCCAGGAATGTCTTGATTGCAAATGTTTAAAGTTTCAAATGTCAAGTGTACGCTTGTCCAGGTATGCCTTGACTGCAATTGTTTAAAGTTTCAAATGTCAAGTGTACACTTGTCCAGGTATGTCTTGACTGCATTTGTTTAAAGTTTCAAATGTCAAGTGTACACTTGTCCAGGTATGTCTTGACTGCAATTGTTTAAAGTTTCAAATGTCAAGTGTACACTTGTCCAGGTATGTCTGGACTGCAAGTGTTTAAAGTTTCAAATGTCAAGTGTATGCTTGTCCAGGTATGTCTGGACTGCAATTGTTTAAAGTCTCAAATGTCAAGTGTACACTTGTCCAGGTATGTCTTGACTGCAATTGTTTTAAGTTTCAAATTTTGGGCTTTGAAACACACCCTGCCTCACCCACCCCACTCAACAAAGTAATAAAAAACGGAATACCGTATATGCATGTAGGCACATTTTTGAGACCATGGTTGATTATATTTATATGTATATACACTTATGACACAACCATATGTATTATAAACTATCAATTATATCATGACTTTCCAAAAGTAGCAAAGTAAAAAAAAAACATCAATTGCAAGAATCTGAACAGGTAAGCATTAAATTGTTTTTGTACAAGACAAGAGCTTACATAGATGGTCTAGAATGAACAGCATTAGAAGCAGCAAGATGGGGGACCATGAAAGAGCTCTATGATATAACAAAAGAGCTCTCAGGAAGATACAAGAAGCCGGAGAGACCATTTAAAGACAAAGAAGGTAGATCAATGATGGAACAAAAAGAACCCAAAAATATGGGTGCAATAATAATACTTTGAGGAATGACTAAACAGACCTCGACCCACAGACTCACCTGATATACAGCCAGCAACAGAAGATTGACAGATTGAAGAGTGCCCCAAACGACCCACAGACTCACCTGATATACAGCCAGCAACAGAAGATTGACAGATTGAAGAGTGCCCCAAATAAAGAAGAAATAGGAAAGGCTGTAAAGCAGCTTAAAATTGGTCTAACATCGGGACCAAGTGTATAACATCGGGACCAAGTGTATAACATCGGGACCAAGTGTATAACATCGGGACCAAGTGTATAACATCGGGACCAAGTGTATAACATCGGGACCAAGTGTATAACATCGGGACCAAGTGTATAACATCGGGACCAAGTGTACAACATCGGGACCAAGTGTATAACATCGGGACCAAGTGTATAACATCGGGACCAAGTGTACAACATCGGGACCAAGTGTACAACATCGGGACCAAGTGTATAACATCTGGACCAAGTGTATAACATCGGGACCGGATAACATCATAAAAGGGATGAGAAGAACAGATATGGATTAAATAGTCAACATGCTGCACCATCTGAAAAGATATGGGAAGAAGAGAGAGTTCCAAAAGATTGGAAAGATGGATACCTTATCAAGATACCAAAGAAAGGTGATCTCAGCAACTGTGGAAACTACTAGCAGTCCTACTCTGAAACTTGGAGAACAACATCGAGCATTACAGACCTTCATAAACAATTGCCTTAAAAAAAATCCTGGACATAAAATGGCCAAACATCATCACCAACAAAGACTGGCTGGAATGGACACACCAGAGGCCTAAGAAGCAAAAGGAGGAGGTGGATAGGGCACACTCTTAATAAACCCCTGAATAATATCACCAGATAATGCCTAACATGGAATCCACAGGGAAAAAAGACAGGGAGGAAGGCCAAAGAATAAATGGAGATGCCAGCTAGAGGCTACAGCTGGAAGCAACTGGAAAGGAAAGCACAGGACCGAGATGAATGGCAAACTCTTTTAAACGGCCTGTGCCCCACGAGGAGTAAGAGGCATAGCTAACAATAAAAATCAGAATCTGAACACTATGTTGGATCCCATAAAATATATTCTCAAATCACAGACAGATTCAGAATATACAGAATTTCAATCACATACATAATTGCCTGAACTGATTTCAAAGAAATATCTGCAATCACGTAGAAGCTATGTGGAATCCCTTTCATTGGCATTACTGTACAAACTAATTAGCCAGATTTGATTAGTATTACTGCAAAGACTAATTAGCCAGATTTGATTAGTATTACTGCAAAAACTAATTAGCCAGATTTGATTAGTATTACTGCAAAGACTAATTAGCCAGATTATCTTATATTCAAGATTAGAGCATTTCTGCATTCTTTAGTCAATGAATCTTGACTATGATCAGCAAGACTTACTGCCTCCAGTTTGTTTAGCTTTGGCATAAGCCTCGGACATTTTCTTCAGATTAGTATCCCGTGCGGCTTCATGATCTACAATAGGACGAGGATAGTCCCTACCAACAACACAGCCTGCAGCTTGCTGTACACTCAGCGGGGCCTTCCACGGCTCATAGATGTACTTGGCCGGGTACTTCTTTAGTATGGGGATGTATTTCCTGTCAAAGATTAAAATATGTGATCATTTAAAATTGTCAGAGCACCAAAAAACAGCATTGAGAGAGTAATGTGATAACAGGATATGATGGGTGTAGCTAGAGTAATGTGATATCAGGAGATGACGGGTGCGGCTAAGCTAGAATAATGTGATATAAGGAGATGACGGGTGCACCTAGAATAATGTGATAACAGGATATGATGGGTGTAGCTAGAGTAATGTGATATCAGGAGATGACGGGTGCGGCTAAGCTAGAATAATGTGATATAAGGAGATGACGGGTGCACCTAGAATAATGTGATAACAGGATATGATGGGTGTAGCTAGAGTAATGTGATATCAGGAGATGACGGGTGCGGCTAAGCTAGAATAATGTGATATAAGGAGATGACGGGTGCACCTAGAATAATGTGATAACAGGATATGATGGGTGTAGCTAGAGTAATGTGATATCAGGAGATGACGGGTGCGGCTAAGCTAGAATAATGTGATATAAGGAGGTGACGGGTGCACCTAGAATAATGTGATAACAGGATATGATGGGTGCAGATAGAGCAAACCAGAATAAAAAGTAATAAAGGAGAATAAGTCTAAAACCTAAATGAAAAAAAATGTAGCTATTACTTCCCTTAATATATTTTTTTTTAATTTGTAGAAATTGCAGTAAAATTTAAGAAAAAACATTTCAATAACACTGTTTCATTAAAAGATGATAATTTAAAAAGAGAAAAAAATATTTGAAAACAAATCAATGTGATGGTTGTGAATATCTCCTGCTCCTAGGCACATATTCCATTGGGGATTAGCCTGGCCATTTGCCCCCAGGCCTGCTCTAACCACTGAAATTTACTTCTTCTATCATCACAAGAACAAAATCCAGATTTCTTTATTTGAAGATTTTTCTGATTAATAAAGATAGTAAAATATAAATAAGCTTGTGTTTTTTTTGTGCATTAAAAAAATATTTTTTATTGTGTATACAAATTACTATTCTATAGCTTAGCGTTCACAGTATTTCAGTCATGTGTGCTCCAATGGTGCAATGAACAGTAGGTCTGTATTCTAGTTCACATGAAAACTTTTTATCTCATTAATCGATGGGAAGTTTAAAATGCTTACTTGATATAGTCTCCATTTGGATCAGTTTTTTTCCCAAACGCTATTGGACTGTAGACACGGAAATACTGGTTGAAAAAAGCTGAAGCTGATAACCACATCCAGTTGCCTGCGTTGAGGCTCCAGTCGGCATCCAACAAGAGCTCTTCAAACACCTGCAACCATAAAACTGGGTTAAAACATTGAAAAACTTAAACTGAAAATAAGATGATAAAATTTTGGCTGGCACAAAACAGAAATTTAAAAAAAAAGAAATATGTGAAAGAGGTGCAAGAAACTCTTCCAAATATTTATTTAATAAAATACTCAATATAAAACTAATTTCGACCATATTCTGACCTTTCTATTTACTCATCCAAAAATCTCCCCATATTCTGACCTTTCTATTTACTAATCCATAAATCTCCCCATATTCTGACCTTTCTATTTACTAATCCATAAATCTCCCCATATTCTGACCTTTCTATTTACTAATCCATAAATCTCCCCATATTCTGACCTTTCTATTTACTCATCCATAAATCTCCCCACCTTCTGGCCTTTCTATTTACTAATCCATAAATCTCCCCACCTTCTGGCCTTTCTATTTACTCATCCATAAATCTCCCCATATTCTGACCTTTCTATTTACTCATCCATAAATCTCCCCACCTTCTGACCTTTCTATTTACTCATCCATAAATCTACCCATATTCTGACCTTTCTATTTACTAATCCATAAATCTCCCCACCTTCTGGCCTTTCTATTTACTAATCCATAAATCTCCCCACCTTCTGGCCTTTCTATTTACTAATCCATAAATCTCCCCACCTTCTGGCCTTTCTATTTACTAATCCATAAATCTCCCCATATTCTGGCCTTTCTATTTACTAATCCATAAATCTCCCCATATTCTGACCTTTCTATTTACTAATCCATAAATCTCCCCACCTTCTGGCCTTTCTATTTACTAATCCATAAATCTCCCCATATTCTGACCTTTCTATTTACTAATCCATAAATCTCCTAAACTTCTGACCTTTCTATTTATTAATCCAAAAATCTCCCCACCTTCTGGCCTTTCTATTTACTAATCCATAAATCTCCCCACCTTCTGGCCTTCCTCCCAACTGATCCACAAATCTCCTCTAGTCAGGAAACAGGCAACAGCGTGCCTGGCCAGATGATGAATCCAGCCTTCATGTCTCAGCTGTGTCATGATGGCATCAATAAATGGGAACCCAGTCTTAGCCTGAGAAAAACAAAATACAGATATTACAATTTAGGGCAACAAATTCAAATGTCCACTGGGGTTTTAGCAGAAACTGTAGGCATCAACTGCTTTTAAATAGAATTATCTTCAAGAATGAAATTAGGACACACTCTATCATGTGGCACCAACTTACATGTGTCCAAGCAGAAAGGTGTTCCTCATTTGACCCCCAAGGTATCTGCCTGCACACAGAGTTACCCTGCATGGAGTCAAAGTTTGGGGTAGAGGCGGCTACAGTATAGAAGAATTCTCTCCATAACATCTGGCCATGTAAGGAGACTGGTGGGGCGGAGTGTTTCTGATATGAAAATAAATAAATTGACATGTCGTAGAATATTGAAACATAAAACATTCTTTTTGATTGATAAATTGTGATCATGTGATACCACTTGAACAATTAAATGTTTTTACAAACAGGCTGGGGCAGTAAAAACTTGACACTAACATTTTTAAAAGAGATATTTTCAACGTCAAAATTTATTTCACAATTCCATGGCTTAAGGGCGGGTAGTTTCTCCCCCCAAAAAATGAATTGATGACGGTTTGATTTTAATCTATGAGTCAGCAGAAGTAAGAACATTAAAAACTAACAAGGAAGCTCAATTAAACCATATGGATTCATTATGAAATAGTTCAAATAAGCAATGTTTAAAAGAATTTCAAATATTATGAAGTTTAAAACATTGATAAAATCAAGAAATATTTCAACAGAGAATCAGTTAAATTGATCTCTATCAGGTGATATTTATTGTTTAACATGCCAGTTAATTTTTCAAGGCTTCAAAAATCATTTTTTAATACATGTTAAGTCAAAGACTAACTGAAGAAACCTTCTTTTTTAGCATCCTGTAACTTCCCATTGGGATGATGATGAAAACATGTTGATCGGTGCAAAGGTATTACAGGAATAAATACAGGAAATTAACAGATAAATAGAACCATTTTTCTATAACTAGTGGTTAGTCTTACCTTACCCTGGTACACTTGTGCGAGTTTGTGATAGAAAAGTCTGGATGACAGGCAGCCAAATTTGATATAAGGGCTCAGTACTGTTGTACTGGGTACTATTGAATTTGGAGATGTATTGGGCTTTTCAAATGTACAAATCCAGTTCTGTCAAACAAATGGTACAAATATGGAATATTAATTATCAATAATTTCAAATCTGAAATGAAATTATGCATCTTAAATCTTGAAATTTATCCTTAGATATTAGACTAGTAAAGAAGCATTAAATGGTTCTCACAATTTTCTTGAGGTGCCTCTCCATTCTGTCTAGTGCTTCAGTTTCACCACCGGGATACAATAAAGGGCCACAATCACTTTCAGACTTGCCTAACTCTGCCAATGTTGGCACCCCATAGTCTTTATCATGTAATTCCCCAATTGGTGTTTTACAACCTGATATTTGGAAAGCAAAATGGAACCCATGTGACGCTAATTCATATTAATTTGTGTTTTGCTGGTTTGAAGTGCTATTTTACCAGTTATTCTTTCATTGATAAGATAAAACTCATAATTAATTCATTAATTTTGCAGAAAAAAGATATAACAATAATGACAAACTACTTCATAATAGATTGCTCTAAAATCTTGTGACCATTATAAATTGTGGTCACATATCTGATGTAACAAAATAATAGATTTTGTTTCAAACAGGTAAGACATGTGTAAGTTCTGCCTCAGAAGATGAATCAGATGCAGAAAATAACATGCAGCTAAACTCACATGATGACAAACTCAACATAAAAATATATAATTAACCCACTCCTGCCTAAAGCATAGCATAACGTCATCTCACATAATAACGCCATGAACCCACTCCTGCCTAACCTACTTTTAACGCAAACCCTCTCCATGCCTATCGAAGGGGTATAACTCCATTTTGAAACAATGTTTTCTTTTTAAACAAATAATTATAAAATAAATTCATCAATGTTTTAATTTTATTAAGTCATAAAGTATAAATTTCTCAATGATAAAATGCCCCTTTTATTTTTCTTATAAAACAATCAAAAACAAATATAGTATCCCAATAGAGTCAAGCCCCTTAGCTTAGGTAGTTGAGGGCTCACAGGAAAAGTTGGTTAGGCGGATTGGTTTAAGAAACAAGGAAATTATTTACTTGAAAGAGCTTCACGTGTAGGGGAACCTACCGCTTCAGGTGGGGCTCCCATTTTTGACACAACAGCCTGAAAGCCCTGGTATGTCAGCGGAACTTTGCCTCCATTAGCTTTGACAGTTCTGTGTACATGGACAATATGAGCATTAAATTAAATTTAAAAAATGCAGCTATGTAAATTCAAATATCATTTTTAAGTTTAATGAAGAAAACAAAATATTTCAATTATTAATTTTAGAACACATTATAAATCTATTTCAATTTTAAAAAACATTTTCAAGTCATGTTAAAATTGTGCTCAACACTATTATTCTATTTAACTAAACAGATGAAACATATTAGAATGTTTTCACCAATATCTGCATAAGATTATGATAGGTATAACAGCTTACTGGTATACATCATACAATGTGTGAGATACACATCTAATAACATCTACTCCCAATGAGCGCAGCTTAGATTCAACTCTCTCATCTCTGAGCACAGCGTATGGTTCTGTATCAATTTCAAATGTCAACTTGGATATCTTCCAAAGACGACACAATTTCTCCAGTTCAATTTCTGGATTCCCTCTCACCACATATAGACTTTGAAGAGATACATTTTAAAGGTATAAATATACAGAATAATAACATTTTCAGCTTTAATGGAATCTTTGAAAACAGCAACAAAATTATCTATTTTTTTCTTCATTACTTCATTAAAATCACATTTCGGGTTTAAGTCTGGCATTTTTAAGTTTGAAATAATTTAATACATTTATGTAATATAATATTAATATAATTTGAGAACATGGGATGAATTAACAACTTAAATTCAAGCCCTCTGTCAATTCCATTGAACATTAAAAAATGTTTTTGAAGATTTCTTGGCACTCTAAGAGATTTTCAGACTTCAACTTCAAAAACAACGTTGCTCGCCATATTTAGTAATAAAGTGCTTAGCCATGAATTAACTTAATTATGGTGATAGTAAAATAAAATTATCATTGCATAGTCTCACCGCAAATTTAAAGACTTCAAACTTTTATCTAAATCCTCAAGGGACTGTAGCAGGAAACGCCATCGATTAATACCAACTTTTGCTGACTTTGCAAACCAAGGATCTAAAACAAATACTGGATAGAGTTCTGTAGCTTGCTCAGTAGCTTTTATAAAAGCTAGGTTATCATGTAATCTCAACCCTTTGCGAAACCAGTGGATAGCCTTGTGACTGGTCATCTCTCAGCAGCCTAATACTAAAATATGAAATCTGAAGTAAAATAGTAGTCACAAAAAAGGAAATGCTCATTAGACCTAACCATTAACATAAAAATCTCAATTTAAATATCAGTAAAATTTCATTATTAATTAATTTTTTTTTAAATTAGTAAATTTATTCAATTAAATATGAATTATCGTGTCACAATCAATGATAATTAATAATAATTTAAATTAAATAAGATACCTCACTAACTAACTGGTCTCCAACTGAAAAACTAAGAGAACTAAGAGTAAGAGTGGAAAATTAGTTTTTGGCCTACATTAATTTCTTCAATTTTATTTTGTTAAAAAAATCACTAAAAGTCAAAGTTTATATAATATATAATCTGAATAACACTTTCACTTAAAATATTAGAATTAGATCTTTATTAATAAAGATTCCTTTGGAAGTTGACATACTACCACCGCAATTTAAGTGAGATACTAATTAATACTAAGACTTTAATTTTAGTTCAACATTGCATAGTTATAACTTAAAAGGATTGAATGGTAGGTTTATAAGTTATATAATATATTATATTATAATATTATAATATATATTAATATTATTAATTATAGTCTACACTGTATCACTGTACTGTACTGTATACTTATTTTATTATGCACTCTTAGTGTAAAGTACTAGGTAATAATGTTGGTAAAGGACATACCATATAATAATATGTTGGGACTTGAAATAACATTTTAAAAAGGATCGAAATGTTTTGCACCGAAAATGAATGTGACGTTGATAACAAAAATAAACATCTATTGAACACCAAAAAAAATCAAATTTTGTTGCATAACCAGGATTGCCAGATAAAAATTCTATTTTTTAAAAAAAGGCCAAACCAAAAAAGAAACATGAAAAAGGCGAAATGTTTTAATTGCTATAACAATATCGTCGATTTTCCGGATGCCATTTCCCGAAATTTCGTTTATCCCAATCACGCTGTCTTTTTTTTTATGATTATTATTATTATCAGGGCTTTTTTGTCGTAGAACTCAAGAGAACGGCGTATCGACACTTTTTTCGAAGGATTTTCTACGTAATCTTTGACAGTTTTTTTTTTTTTTTTTGCCATCGTGCATTTTCATCGCCCTGTCAAGCGCTGGGGGTCGCGGAAAATCAATATTGACAATTGAATTTTGTGCAGCATTGAAAGGTGTGGGAAGGCAACAAAAAATAATTTTAAATTTTTTTTTTTTTTTTTTTAATTTTTTTTTTTTTTTTTTTTTTCTTTTTTTTTTTTTTTTTTTTTTTGCCATCGTGCATTTTCATCGCACTGTCAAGCGCTGGGGGTCGCGGAAAATCAATATTGACAATTGAATATTGTGCAGCATTGAAAGGTGTGGGAAGGCAACAAAAAATAATTTTAAAATGCTCATGTGGAAAATCAATAATTTTTGTTTGGTTTTTTTTTTTTGGTGTATTTTTTTTATTCAACCTATTTAAACATAATTGCTTAATATAAATTTATTCAGTTGGAAGTGTCCATATGCAGACAAGAATCTTGTTCTGTAAAAGAGTAATAATTTAACATTGGAAAAATTCAAACACAAAAGCAACTACGCCCTGCAGCAGGATACATGGAGATCAAATGTTTGATATAAAAGAACAGAACGGGAAAAGTTGATTTTTATCTTTACGTTACGTAAGTGGTCAGTTTAAGCTGAAAGTGGGATGGGACAAGTGGTCAGTTTATGATGAAAGTGGGGTGGGACAAGTGGTCAGTTTATGATGAAAGTGGGACGGGACAAGTGGTCAGTTTATGATGAAAGTGGGACGGGACAAGTGGTCAGTTTATGATGAAAGTGGGACGGGACAAGTGGTCAGTTTATGATGAAAGTGGGATGGGACAAGTGGTCAGTTTATGATGAAAGTGGGATGGGACAAGTGGTCAGTTTATGATGAAAGTGGGACGGGACAAGTGGTCAGTTTATGATGAAAGTGGGATGGGACAATTGGTCAGTTTATGATGAAAGTGGGGTGGGACAAGTGGTCAGTTTATGATGAAAGTGGGACGGGACAAGTGGTCAGTTTATGATGAAAGTGGGATGGGCCAAGTGGTCAGCTGATGATGAAAGTGGGAGGGGATGAGTGGTCAGCTTATGATGAAAGTGGGATATGATCACTGTTTCTTTCAGACAAAAAGTCCGAGAAGGTAGTCTGAGAAGATATTCTGGGGTGGGGGCGCAGTACCAGTGGACAGAGGCGTAGTTAAGGGGACATAGAGGTCATATATCCCCAGGCGCCAGACTAGCGGGGTGCAAAATGGACTTTTATGGTTTTTAATGTATGAAAATAATGTGTTTCAGAGTGGGGGGGGGGGCTTAAAAATGAATCTTGTCCCCTGAACCTAATTACTCTAGCTACGCCAGTGACATAGAAAGGGGTGGGTGGATGGGTGTCTGCTTAGGTGTAATTTGTTCTTTATATTGAGGAGCATTTTCGGAAAACTGCAGATTTTATATCACCAAAGGCAGCATGCCTAGGGTGGCACTAACACTAGGCAGTGTATATATCGGCACCAAAAATGACGATCATTGCCAGCAATACATTTTTGTGGGGGAAGTAGTGCAGAAAACGAGGGCGCCACTGACTTTTCCCTACCAAGAAATTGTGTGATAATTTAAAAATCAAGGGTGAATTTTACAGCATACACGATTTGAATGTTTTTATTCGACTATATGATCAGGAGAAAGAAATTTTGAAGCGTCTAGGGAGGCTTTATGGCGCCCAGTGCCATACATAAATTAAACGGTTATGGTGCACCCAAGATAATAATTTGACACCAGCTTACATTCAACCCTGTAATGTCACATTGATTGACGTCAAGGAGTGGTGCAGCAGAAATTAAGGGTTCTGAAGAGTCTCGAGAAAAGTTGCGGCAGCGATCCCCTTGATTAAAATTTTAAAAAATCAAAATGCAGGAATGCATTTTGGTGCTTATTTGAATTTAATGTTTATTTCAGACAATTTGTGAGGGGGCATTTCAGACTTTCGGCAGGGAAGCGCCACAAACAGTCATAGGTACATCTCTAACTCTTCCTCAAGCCCAACATGAACTAAATTCCTTCCAGCTGGGGGATCCTTAAGTGTATTTTTGTTGCCGATAAATAATACCTAGCTTAGTCACACCCCTTAAATCTTTATAGTCCCCGGAATATGTTTGATAAATTTAAATGCTTAAATTTAGTTTTGCATAATTCTTTGCTTAAGTGGAGAGAAATGTGAAAGATGCTTGTGAAGATTTTAGGTGTCACTTGACCTCAGAGCAATCGTGTGGGCCCTGCAACCCCTAAAGCAGCAGGGGGGCCTCGGATATTTTAGGGGCGTAAGTTGTGAACACTTTAAATTATCATCTTTGAATGCTAGGTGGGGGAAAGGACAAAACCGAAAAGTGGCAGGGGACACAAAAAAAGCCCAGCCACGTCGCTGTAAATATATGTTTTTATATTACTAAATAATAATAATAATAATGTGTTTTTTAAAATTTTTATTGAAAATATATTTGGGGTAAACTACTTAATAAATAAAATGAATTTACACAAAAAATGTTTTTAAAATTTTTTTTAAGTTCCTTAAAAAAAAAAAAAAAAAAAAAAAAAATTTTTTTTAAAAAAAAAAAAAAAAAAAAAAAAAAAAAAAAAAAATTTTCACACAAAAAAAAAAAAAAAAAAAAAAAAAGCATTCCTAACAAAATTTTACACGTGCAATCCAAAACAAAAATAAAATATATTCGTCATTTCTAAATCTACCCGACTTTTAGCAGGGTCTAAAAGGAAAACAAAACTGTTATGTAGAAGAGTCTCTATATGTTATGAGTTTTTAAAACTGGTCATTTTTATAAATCGTATCATCATATATTATTTATTACTGTGTGATTTTATCTGAGGGAGATCGTGTTAAGAGAAAGTAAAAAGATTCCCAATACTCATTTGTTGATTTAAATGTTCATTTAGAATATCAAATAATAACTTTCTTCAGATCAATTGCAAAATGCCTCTTCGATTTCCTTTAAAAAATCTTTAACCAAATCCATAGAATTTATTTGTAAATTGACGATTTAGATTTTTTTTCCATTTACTACCAAACAAATAAAAGTCGCATGAAAATCGAAATGCTAGTTTAAAATAGTATATATATATATATATATATATATATATATATATATATATATATATATATATATATATATATATATATATATATATATATATTCTACTGGATTCTCATTTAAATATATTAATATATATAAAACAAAATTGCGTTCAAATAGCTGGGGAATATTGTTTAATATTCTGATACTAAAAGGGGTAAAGCGGCATTAAAGACGTAAGGGATTAATAAATAGAAGCTAAAGTATTTTTAGAAATAAAACCCCGTTACTCTGTTGTTCTGGAAACTGTGTTTCAAAACTAGCACTTTTAAAGAAAACAAAAACGCTTTCAATTTAATACTAGTTGTCTAAGTGTCCACTATTTGTATGCATCCGTTAAATTACTGATTAAAAAAAAAAAAATATTAAGTTTTTAAAAGTTTTCATTTTCTAACTCAATATGCAAGGATAGCATGAAGCACATTAAAATGTATGCGAATAACTATACTTTTTTTAAAAAAGCTGATGATATCAGATATTTTATGATTAGACGTCTAACATTATCCTCCACTGTCTTTAAAAGTCGTGCTTTTATGATTAAATATAATTTGAAAACATATTCACCTATTTAATACCAATTTTCAAAACTTCCGATATTTATAACCGAATGTGGAAAGCCTGCAACAAGATTAGCCTTAAATATACGGATCATCAAGTATGTCGAAAAAAGCAATATTTCATTGATTCCACTTAATGTAATCGATGAAAGACACAAGTTTCTATTACTTTAAAAAAAAAAATCTAATAAAAAAAAATATCCCGTTTATTATATAAAATATAATTTTTTTTTGTTGTACACATTTTCACCGGGGGTGGGAAGATACTTGACTTAGACCGAAAGGGTGGTGGCACTGAACCGGACCCCCCCCCCCCACACACACACACACACTTCCCGGAGAAATGCCTGAAAGAAACACTTGGATTGGATACTCAGGGACAAGTCCCACGTTGTTCGGAATTCGGAATTGTTGCAAAAATTTCTATTTGAAAGGGAGCTATCCTATAAAATTAATGCAACACATTTGAGACTGGGTAAATAGACATCTTGTAGTTATGCCATTAAAAACCCGCCTATAGCATATAGCGCCATTGCTATTTGATCGCAAACTCTTTTCTGATTTGCGCAACATTTTAATTAAGGAAGGGACGAAACAGGTAATTGGGGTAACGGGTAACATTGAACTAGCTACATTGTTGTATTTTGCCATAGTTGCATACGTCTACTCAACAATTGTTAGCTTTGTTCGACATCTCTCGTAAAATTAAAGGAACATTATTGAAATTTAAAGCTGATAATATTTACATTGACATGAATAAAAAAAAAACGAATAAAAAAAAAAAAGGCCAGAAAACAGCAACATTTGAAGAATATGGTCTTAAAAACGCCAATTAGGCAAGCCTCCGCATAACCCAAATTCAGAGTTACTTCTCTTGTGGAAGAAGTTTATAAAAATCCATTTAGAACTTCCGTAGACTCAAATAATGGCAACCAAACGTAAAAACGAAAGTCAATTACCAGCTGAAGAGAGCGATATTCTTCAAATTCGCCCACTGTTAGTACTAAAAAAACATAAGATAAAGGGACGTTTAATGCACGGATGAATATTATCGCTGTTGGAGAGCTGGCCATTGTTGGGTTTGGGGAGATAGTATATTCGTTTTTCTGAGAAACTTTCCTTCCAAGAAACAAAAAATGCAATCACACTTTCAATAATAAATTATTATAAATGACTAATTTTAATAATTATACTTCTACTGCCAGCCCAGTACTACTCAGGCTGTGTCAACGAGTTTCTTTTTCTGAAAATTTTGCATTGAAACTTAAAGAGAAAAGTGCCTTTAATAGTGGCTACTTACTACTATACTTGACTGGGCCTGGGCTGATTACTTGATTAGAATTAGACTTAGAATAGGCTTTGTCATTTCTCAGACAGGAAAACGTCATAGTGTACTATTTTTAGAAGGTCGTCGGGCAAATATTGCTTAAAACATGACAGCTTATAGTGTGTTTCAGCATATCGTTCGGATGATTCTTGTATCTAGAGTTACTGTTACATATGCCGTTTGCGCAATGTAGTCCCATTTCAGAAAATAGAATTTAAAAAAAAAATATTTCGTAAAATAGACTTGTAAACAAGTTTCAGGGACACTTCGCTAACATAGTAATACTGAACAGTGTTGACATTTTGTCCGCGCTGAGTACCCGGATGATGAGTAATGATGACATCAATTCTATTAATAGATTTCCGCCATTAAATGACAAGCCCTATTGGAGTGAATAGCTTGTCTTATTAATTATTTAAAATGAATACTCTTAGACCTAATTATGTTGGGCTTATTTCTTTGCTTGTGGAAGCCTATCATTTTGTAATTGTAAAAAGTCATCAATAGGTAATGGACTATTGACATTCTTTAATAAAACTGATACTTTCATTTATTAATGATTTAAAAAAGAATAAAAGCAACCAAGTCTACCCATTATTATGTTTTCTAATCATTTTAATCAAGTCACACGTTCTTTACAGATGGGTCTATGTTAAAAGACTCAACAACAGCAACCTTGTTCTATGTCATTTTCTTAATAAATTAATATAAAATATAAATGTGTAATTTATTTAAATTTATGAGTAATAACATATCTATTATCAAACTACTCATGCCGTACTTATTCTGTTATTAAGACAGTTTTATTATTTATGGTAATGTTACGGTTAGTCCTCTCCATTTTGTTTCATTTGTTGGAAACTTCTCAAGTCAATCACTGAGTACATATCTCTGTAAGACTAAGTCATTTCCTTTCCTTAATTTAGACCTTTCATTAAGGCAGGTCTCTTCACCATATTCCAGACCTTCATCTTTTTGGGATCTTCAACATCAAGCCATAACTGTCCAAACTTGTGGGTAATATGAAAGGTGCCAGTGATTATTCTGTCCCTCCTCTCCTTTTATCTGTTGTTAACAGTTTTTCTGGGTTTAGAGACTAAGCCCCAGAGAAGACACTGAGCAGGATCTGGCTTTCAGAGATAAAGACCATTGATTGAGAACTTTTCATGGTAGTTGGCGCTATCTCCAGTCCACCCTCAGAATAACAAGTGTTGATTCCATACCTGCCATTTATCATGGTTTGGGAGATAAGTTTATTAAATTAATAATGAAAATAAATATTTTGTTAAAAAAAATCCTCAAAATACTCACTGCCTTGTTTCCCGCTAGTATGAAGTAAACAACTTCATCAACCAAAAATGTAATTCATGTCAAATTCAGAGAAAAGTATTTACTTTTACTGTCTCTGAACTTTACTCTCTCTCTCCCCCCTCTCTCTTTCTCCTCCTCCCTTCCCAAATTTATTGTTATTACTTAGTGTATGTTAGTTAATCCAGAAGTTACACATCCTTTGTATGAAATATTTTTCATTGCTTTTTTTTTACAGTGGTGCTGGTCAAGAAGTTGGTAGATCATGTCATCTGCTGGAGTTCAAAGGGAAAAAGATTCTGGTCAGAATTTTAAACTGAATATACAGAGCAATCATTATTTTGTAATCTTTAAAAAGCATTTTTCAACACTAATACCTTTTACAACTGTTGTATCTTTTGAAATGTGCATATTGTTTTAAGATATTGTTAGTTTGCGTGTATGGGTTTATCTGTGGTGTAGATAGGACAAGTGTCATCACCCCCACCCTCTTTGCAGTAGGCTGAAAATGCCACACCTCCATGTAAAGGAATGTGCCTTGGGAGGACCACCCCTCCCCCACACCTGTCCTATGCAACTGGATTTAATATAAGATTATCAAGCAATATTTAAAGATGCACTTTTCTGTTTATTCTTCAGCTGGATTGTGGAATCCATCCTGGTATGAGTGGTATGGCTTCATTGCCATATCTAGACATGATAGAACCTGAAGAGATTGACCTCTTGCTGATCAGCCAGTGAGTTTTTTGTCAAATTAGCATATGCCATATTATTTTAAAAAAAATATTTAAAAAAAAAAAAAAAAAATTATTTCGTTATCTTATCAATTTGTCAAATATCCCACATTGAACTAATTAAACTACTTATAAACATTGTACATTAAATATTTATTAAAAATACTAAACATGTTTTTTTTCTCACTTGCTTAATTCCAGCTTTCACCTTGATCACTGTGGTGGCCTGCCATACTTCCTACAAAAAACTGCATTCAAAGGCAGATGCTTCATGACCCATGCAACTAAAGCTATTTATAGATGGCTTCTGTCAGATTATGTTAAAGTCAGGTAACTCTAATATAAGATTCTGCACTATAAGGTCACATCCTAACATTTCTAGATATACTAGATTAAGTTTGTCATTTCCTTTCATAGAAATTTCAGCATAGGAACAAAATAAAGTAATTTTTTTTAAAGCTTAGCCCATTTCTATACTCTCCTCCTGTCCCAAACAAAAAGAAGTTGTCGGCTAGCTTGACTTTAAAGCAGCAGTTGCAGCAAGGGGTACCAGTTCCTAGGAGGCAATGGAATATTTGCCTTATGATAATTGAACATTTTTGGATTTTCATACATTAACTAATTTTCTGTTTCCCTAATTTTTTTCCCCAGCAATATTGCATCCGACGATCAACTTTACACAGACAGTGACATAGAGAAAAGTATGGAAAAGATTGAAACCATCAACTTTCATCAGGTAAAAAAAAAGCATTGAATTTTTATGGATTTACAAAATTTTTTTTCAGATTTTTTCCCCCACTCAGATATGTTTGTGTATTTCTTGAGTTTATTTGATTACTTTCTCTAATCAGGAAACGGATGTGAATGGTGTCAGGTTCTGGTGCTACTCAGCTGGCCATGTGTTGGGGGCAGCTATGTTTATGATTGAGATTGCTGGTGTTAAGGTAGGTTAACACCTTATCATGTCCTTTGCAATTATAACAGTAGTGTAGACCATTTTTGTTCCAATATGATATGAACTCATTACAGTTGAAAAATTGTATACCTTATAAAGATACTTTGGTTCACTATCTGAATGCTAAATTTTCATGACAATTAATTTTTACAATTTCACAGATTTTGTACACTGGAGACTATTCCCGACAAGAAGATCGCCATCTAATGAGTGCTGAGATGCCGAATGTCAAGCCAGATATCGTCATCATTGTAGGTTATTTAAGGCCACTTCTGCTGATACATAGCACTCATTGATAGGCTAACTCCCCTTCATATTTCAGTGTTCAAAATGTGTCTGTGTCCCTTACATGTAAAAACTCATCTCATTAAATATTATTTATTATTATTATTATTATACATGGTTTTATATAGCATGGTACCCCAGCCTAGTGCTGGGCTCACCACGTTGTACATACAATTTAACAAACATAATAAAAATCTGAAATAATTAATTGACATACATTAATTCAATAAAACAAAACAAATGTATATATAAAACTATTTCCATCTCAAGCCATGGACGACACTCAGTACCATTGTTTTACGGTCAGATGTGGGAATCAGTCAGGATAGTAGAGATTAAATAGATGTGTTTTGAGTGCAGTTTTGAAGGTTGTGATAGTCTGTATATTGCATATGTGTAATGGAAGAGAATTCCGTTGTTTGGGTTCACAGAAAGAGAACCATTGTTCACCATATGTTTTTGTGTGAGTCTTGGGGACAGAAAGAATACGGGCATCTGCGGAGGAGCGAAGCTGTCGAAGGGGTGAATAGACAGAGAAGTTCAGTTAGATAGGAAGGGGAGGAATTCGAGAAAAAGTTGTGGCAGAGAACAGAGAGTTTGTAGTCGATACGTGCTTGTACAGGTAGCCAATATGTCAAAGTCTTGTTTATGTGTGCGTCACCAAAGTCTTGTTTATGTATGCGTCACCAAAGTCTTGTTTATGTATGCGTCACCAAAGTCTTGTTTATGTGTGCGTCACCAAAGTCTTGTTTATGTATGCGTCACCAAAGTCTTGTTTATGTATGCATCACCAAAGTCTTGTTTATGTATGCGTCACCAAAGTCTTGTTTATGTATGCATCACCAAAGTCTTGTTTATGTATGCGTCACCAAAGTCTTGTTTATGTATGCGTCACCAAAGTCTTGTTTATGTATGCATCACCAAAGTCTTGTTTATGTATGTGTCACCAAAGTCTTGTTTATGTATGCATCACCAAAGTCTTGTTTATGTGTGCGTCACCAAAGTCTTGTTTATGTATGCGTCACCAAAGTCTTGTTTATGTATGCATCACCAAAGTCTTGTTTATGTATGTGTCACCAAAGTCTTGTTTATGTATGTGTCACCAAAGTCTTGTTTATGTATGCGTCACCAAAGTCTTGTTTATGTGTGCGTCACCAAAGTCTTGTTTATGTATGCGTCACCAAAGTCTTGTTTATTTATGTGTCACCAAAGTCTTGTTTATGTATGCGTCACAAAAGTCTTGCAGACACGAAAAAAAGCCATGTTCATTTCTTTTTGCAAATCCAGAAGTTTGAATTGTTCTTTAAATGGTTGGCTTTCCCTCTTTTTTTGTTGTTGTGAGTTTGACTTTCACTGAGCTGTTAAGATTAGCAATGGGTTGGTCTAACGGTGTTTTATCTAATATTGTAGAATTATTTGACACATTTTAAAAGTTTGTTGTCTTTTTCTACACCGTTAAAGGGCTCTTTTAAAGCACATAGGATTCATTGGTTCTGTTTGGTTTGGGAGCATGTCTATGTAGTTGGTGGCAGTTCTCCTAAAAAGCTATACATTTTCATTGCAATTCTAAACTTGACCATTTGCTTGTCAGGAATCTACTTATGGAACTCACATCCATGAGAACAGAGAGGAGCGAGAACATCGTTTTACCAGTCTGGTCCATGACACTGTCAACAGAGGTGGCCGCTGTCTCATCCCAGCTTTTGCCTTAGGCAGAGCCCAAGAACTCTTACTTATTTTAGGTACTACATATTAGAATTAGGATGTTCTCTTACTTATTTTAGGTTCTACATACTAGAATTAAATTGTTCTCTTACTTATTCTAGTTACTACATATCAGAATTAGGGTATTCTCTTACTTACTCTAGGTACTTGACACCAGAATTATGGTATTTTCTTACTTATTTTAGGTACTACATATCAGAATTAGGGTGTTCTATTACTTATTCTAGGTACTACATATTAGAATTAGGGTATTCTCTTACTTATTCTAGGTACTTGACACCAGAATTATGGTATTTTCTTACTTATTCTATGTACTACATATCAGAATTAGGGTATTCTCTTACTTATTTTAGGTACTTGACACCAGAATTAGGGTATTCTTTAAATGTTTATTAAAATTATCCATAAATGATGAACAGATATAAAAATAATCATGTTTTAGAAATGTTTTAAAAAATCAGCTATTTCGGTTATTTCAGATTATGGTAAATAGTTTGACATTTCATAGTAAGGTTAATGGCTTTTAACAATAGAAATCATTGTCATCTCCATGTGAGTTTTAACCGTAAGCTTTCTGTTTGTAGATGAATATTGGAGCAACCACCCTGAGCTCCACGACATTCCCATCTACTACGCCTCACAGTTGGCCAAGAAGTGCATGAGTGTCTACCAGACTTACATTAATGCCATGAATGAAAAGATCCGTCGACAGATCACCATCAGCAACCCCTTTGTCTTCAAACACATTATCAACCTCAAGGTATCTACTGTCCTCTATGCTGTTATATCTGCTTTAGATGTATTTTTCTGATCAGTTTTGTGCTTTTACTACTTACTTTGTTGTCTTTCATAATGAATTATGATGTTAATTGTTTTTCCAGTGATGTTTGTTTTATCTAAAGTGGTATTTTAAAGAACTTGACCATTCTCAACTATGACCCCTAGAATATGGAGCAATTTGAAGACATAGGACCATCGGTTGTGCTGGCCAGTCCTGGTATGTTGCAGAGTGGTCTCTCCAGAGAACTGTTTGAGAGCTGGTGCACTGACAAGAGGAATGGCTGCATCATTGCTGGTTACTGCGTGGAAGGAACGTTAGCAAAGGTTGGTAATGGGAAAAGTGATTATGATTCTTTAGCAAATTTGACATAAATAATAACAGGAAAATACGTCAAGGAACTTTGTTTGTTTGTATGTGTAAGCAGTCGGCCCCTAATGTATTGCATTATATTGTTATTTCAGCTAATGCACTAATACAGTCTTGATTCATTGAGGAATGGAGTTTGATTTATCAGTTTTATGAATGCCATCAAAGAATTCTGTTCAATGTTTCAGCATATTTTGTCTGAGCCCAATGAGATCGTCACACAAGGAGGTCAGAAACTGCCCCTGAAATGTTCTGTGGATTACATTTCTTTTTCTGCTCATGCTGATTATAAACAGACCTCAGAGTTTTTACGTGAGCTCAAGCCAGCACATGTGGTAAGCAGTACTTAGCAATTTTCATTTGTGGCAGATGGACACACCTGATAATAGGATGAAAGCAGATTACAGAATTGGTTGGGAAAGCCGTCATTAAATTTGTAAATATGAAATTCTTTAAATTTTAAAACCTATATATAACTTCCCCTTTGTTCATGGCTGGCTGGCAAAATTTTTGGACGGCTAATTGACCCATTTTCCAACAACCTTTTGAGCTGAAACTTGGCTCATAGACCTGTTGCAGAGGACAACACATTTTTTCACATTTTCAGCCCCCCCCCCCCACCCTTTTTCTGACACACCCACCCCCCAACCTGCAATAATAAGTTTTTCCTGTTTTTCAAGAGGGACATAAGGAAATATAATTTAGCAAAATAAAATTCCTAATAGCTGCGCTAAATGAATATAAAAATATAAAAAAATAAATCGCTAGTGCGTTAAGTGTGTAATATTTTCTTTTGTTTTCTGAAATAGTTGGTGAAATAAATCTGCTGTGTAAAAGTTGGTGGGTCATTAGGATATTGATGTAGTTCAAGGGTGGGAAAAATATGTGGAGTTTGGGTGGGCGGGGTGACTTTGATACTATGTTAATGATTGTTTGACTTTGATGCTATGTTAATGATTGGTTGACTTTGATACTATGTTAATGATTGTTTGACTTTGATGATATGTTAATGATTGGTTGACTTTGATGCTATGCTAATGATTGTTTGACTTTGATGCTATGTTAATGATTGTTTGACTTTGATGCTATGTTAATGATTGGTTGACTTTGATACTATGTTAATGATTGGTTGACTTTGATGCTATGCTAATGATTGTTTGACTTTGATGCTATGTTAATGATTGTTTGATTTTGATGCTATGTTAATGATTGTTTGACTTTGATGCTATGTTAATGATTGTTTGACTTTGATGCTATGTTAATGATTGTTTGACTTTGATGCTATGTTAATGATTGTTTGACTTTGATACTATGTTAATGATTGGTTGACTTTGATGCTATGCTAATGATTGTTTGACTTTGATGCTATGTTAATGATTGTTTGATTTTGATGCTATGTTAATGATTGTTTGACTTTGATGCTATGTTAATGATTGTTTGACTTTGATGCTATGTTAATGATTGTTTGACTTTGATGCTATGTTAATGATTGTTTGACTTTGATGCTATGTTAATGATTGTTTGACTTTGATGCTATGTTAATGATTGTTTGACTTTGATGCTATGTTAATGATTGTTTGACTTTGATGCTACGTGTTTATTGCATAAATGTCTCATGTTAACTGCATTTATAGTTTGATCAAGTCATGAATTTCAATAACCTTTAAAAAGAAAACTTTGTTGTGTTTCACGCAAACATTAATAAGGAACAGTTTGTATTGCTTGTTGGTGTGAACATTTCATGACAATAATTTAATGAACAGGTTCTGGTTCACGGAGAAGTCAACGAAATGGCCAGACTGAAGTCTGCTTTGTTACGAGAGTATGAAGATGATACAGATTACAAGATGGAGGTCCATAATCCTCGTAACACTGTACCGATAGAATTGCATTTCAGAGGAGAAAAAATAGCCAAAGTAAATGCCTGTTTTTGTTGTTGCTTGTCCTGTTGTCATCGCTTTTAGTTTTAGTAAATATATCCTCTATGTAAAGTTTCAAGTTATTTTTTTGTCTTAAAGTTGACTATTTTGCTGACTGAAATAAAATGGCCAGTCACCTGAGCCTATGATTAAATGTGAATATTTTCCCCAGGTTGTTGGTGATTTAGCCTCAGATCCTCCCAAACAGGGACACAGGGTGTCTGGTATTCTAGTCAAGAGGAATTTCAATTATCATATTGTTTCACCCAAAGATTTACAAAGTAATTCATAATGATATTTAAATTGTACATCCTAACTGAGAATTCAGGAATGATTAAATTCATTTTACCTTTGTCTATATTTTTTTGTTAATGTAGGTATCATTGATTGTTTCCTTATTCTTGAAACCACAAATTTAAAGTTAGACTTTTGTGTAATTGCTTCAGGTTTTCACCCTAATGTAAGATATTATTTGATTAGTTTTTATATTTTAAACATATCTGAATTGAAATAAATAAAGCTTTGTTACATTTATTAGTAATCTTAAGAGATTTTAAATATCTGATTGATTTACTAGACAGTGTACTGATGGGAAAACACTTTTGTACTTTTAAACTTAAACAACAATGGTTCAATCACAGGTTATACAGATCTAGCGATGAGTACAGTGGCTCAGAAGATGAGTGTCACATTTTCTGGCAATGCCAGCTTATTGACCTACTATTTAAACCAACTGGCAGGAGACATTGAGTTTGTTGCCAGTACACCTGTAACTATTCTCAGAGTTTTCAATTCTGTACAGGTGAGAAAGAAACTTTTTAGTACTATTTATTGTATTATCCTTACTTTAACAGCCTATAATGCCTTTGTTACTGATATTTCCAAGTAACTTAAAGTTTATTGTAAGAACCTAAAATGCCTTTGTTACTGATGTTATTTTGAAGTAAGTTAAAGTTTATTGTAATGACGTTTGAGTTTGTAATACGTCAAATCTGATGCACTGTGCAGGTGATGTTGGATGCAGGTGTGGCTTACATAGAGTGGATAGCAAACCCTGTGTCAGACATGTATGCTGATGCAGTCATTGCTGTCTTGCTGAGGGCAGAGCAGGATCCCATTCCCATCAGTAGTATGTGGTTTTAGTTTTCATTTACAATTACATTTGTCTGTGTTCTTGGGTGTCTGTAGAGTACATTGGTGTCTAGAATGTTCTTGGTGGTCTAGAGAGTTTTTCGGTGTCTAGAGAGTTCTTGGGTGTCTAGAGTGTTCTTGGGTGTCTATAGAGTTATTGGGTGTCTAGAGAGTTCTTGGGTGTCTAGAGAGTTCTTGGGTGTCTAGAGTGTTCTTGGGTATCTATAGAGTTCTTGGGTGTCTAGAGAGTTCTTGGGTGTCTAGAGAGTTCTTGGGTGTCTAGAGAGTTCTTTGGTGTCTTAAGAGTACTTTGGTGTCTCGAGAGTTCTTTAGTATCTAGAGAGTTCTTGGGTGTCTAGTGAGTACTTTGGTGTCTAGAGAGTTCTTTGGTGTCTAAAGAGTACTTTGGTGTCTAGAGAGTTCTTGGGTGTCTAGAGAGTTTTTGGGTGTCTAGAGAGTACTTTGATGTCTAGAGAGTTCTTGGGTGTCTAGAGAGTTCTTGGGTGTCTATAGAGTACTTTGGTGTCTAGAGAGTTCTTGTTGGTCTAGAGAGCTCTTGGGTGTCTAAAGAGTTCTTGGGTGTCTAGAGAGTACTTTGGTGTAGAGAGTTCTTGGGTGTCTAAAGAGTTCTTGGGCTTCTAGAGAGTTCTTGGGCTTCTAGAGAGTTCTTGGGTGTCTAGAGAGTACTTGGGTGTCTAGAGAGTGCTTGGGTGTTTAAGAGAGTTTTTGGGTGTCTAGAGAGTTCTTGGGTGTCTAGAGAGTTCTTGGGTGTCTAGAGAGTTCTTGGGTGTCTATAGAGTACTTTGGTGTCTAGAGAGCACTTTGGTGTCTAGAGAGTTCTTGGGTGTCTAGAGAGTGCTTGGATGTTTAAGAGAGTTCTTGGGTGTCTAGAGAGTTCTTGGGTGTCTAGAGAGTTCTTGGGTGTCTAGAGAGTTCTTGTGTGTCTATAGAGTTCTTGGTTGTCAAGAGAGTTCTTGGGTGTCTATAGAGTACTTTGATGTCTAGAGAGTACTTGGGTGTCTAGAGAGTTCTTGGGTGTCTAGAGAGTTCTTGTGTGTCTAGAGAGTTCTTCGGTGTCTAGAGAGTTCTTCGGTGTCTATAGAGTTCTTCGGTGTCTAGAGAGTTCTTGGGTGTCTAGAGAGTTCTTCGGTGTCTAGAGAGTTCTTGGGTGTCTAGAGAGTACTTTGGTGTCTAGAGAGTTCTTGGGTGTCTAGAGAGTTCTTGGGCATCTAGAGAGTTCTTGGGTGTTTAGAGAGTTCTTGGGTGTCTAGAGAGTTCTTGGGTGTATAGAGAGTTCTTGGGTGTCTATGGAGTTCTTGGGTGTCTAGAGAGTTTTTGGGTGTCTAGAGATTTCTTGGGTGTTTATAGAGTTCTTGGGTGTCTAGAGAGTACTTTGGTGTCTAGAGAGTACTTTGGTGTCTTGAGAGTTCTTGGGTATCTAGAGAGTACTTGGGTGTCTAGAGAGTACTTTGGTGTCTAGAGAGTACTTTGGTGTTTAGAGAGTACTTTGGTGTCTAGAGAGTACTTTGGTGTCTGAGAGTTCTTGGGTGTCTAGAGAGTACTTTGGTGTCTGAGAGTTCTTGGGTGTCTAGAGAGTTCTTTGGTGTCTATAGAGTTCTTTGGTGCCTTTAGAGTTCTTCGGTGTCCAGAAAGTTCTTGGGTGTCTAGAGAGTTCTTGGGTGTCTATAGAGTTCTTGGGTGTCTATAGAGTACTTTGGTGTCCTAGAGAGTACTTTGGTGTCTAGAGAGTACTTGGGTGTCTAGAGAGTTCTTTGGTGTCTAGAGAGTTCTTGGGTGTCTAGAGAGTACTTTGGTGTCTAGAGAGTTCTTGGGTGTCTAGAGAGGTCTTGGGTGTCTAGAGAGGGTGAAGACTGTTATGAAATCTTAGTATTTTCATTATTGTTGGCTGACAAAAAAGGAACTTTTAATGTTATTTTTGTAATTGCTGCTATGTACAAAATTCCTGTGACTCCCTCATGTCTGTGCATGTGTTTCTGTGCATTTGTGTCTGTGTGTGTGTGTGTCTGTGCTTTTTGGATTACAAGAATATTAAAATTTGAATTTACAGACATGGTCCATTCTAATAACTGGTTTACTACCATGAGCCGGTGTTAGCGGTTGGGCGTTTCTTTCATTAGCTAATCTGTTGATACATTTATATGAAACAGAAAAGAATATTTTTTCAGCAAAGTCATTTTAAAAATGTGTCACTGCCCCTGTCCATAATGCTCTTCTTGTAAAATTAACACCTGGGATGGCTGGTTATTATTTTACATAGCAATCAATTTTTTAAAATTTGGAATAAATATTTCTAAGTTCAGATCTATCAACATGTCAAATGATATTTTCAGATCTTGCCACTCCCATGAAAGTTGACAAAGCTCATTTCCAGGAATGCCTTCTGGAAACACTGGGGGAAATGTTTGGTCCTGAATGCACGGGCAAAGTTTTTGAAAGAGATCGTCTAACAGTCACCGTAGATGACAAATCAGCAATCATAAATCTGGACTCACTGGTATATTTCAATTATTTAGTTCATTATTGTGGATGTCATTATTTTTGTAGGCAGCTTTAAAAAAAAGTCTCAAATACTTACTTTTTACAAAACTAGTTGTCTCCCTTAGACCTGTCACTCTATTGATTTTAGAATTGAAGGCTTTCTTATTTCATTTGAGTAAAGGTTCTTTCTTCTACAAAATGTCTTTGATTACTTTGAAAATGTCTATCTAAAATTTATTTATGATTAATATACTTTTAAAAAGAAAGTTTTTGGTTACGAATCAGCTTTAACTTAAAGCCATTAAATAAGTTTACTGAGCAGGGGAAGGATACTATTTCTGCACTGAATTGTTTCAGGATGTCAAATGTTCTGATGAGACTCTGCAGCAAGTACTTCACACAGCAGTGACACGACTTCATCAAGCCATCAACCCTGTTAAATGTTAAATGCCATTTGATCTGAAGAATCCTTATGTATGAGATATAAATGCATCTCAGATATGACTACAGAAATTCTTCATGTAGACTAAAGTTGTGAAGAAATTTGTTATTACTATGCTGTTTATAGTATAAGCTATAAATAGTTACGAGAAATTGATATGTTTTTTAGACTGTAGATTAAATGACTAAAATTGATTGTTTTCTCACTGTTTAAATCTTTTGTTGATTGTACGTGTGTTATGTCGAGTCGTCGCCTCTTAAAATGAACATATTATGCATGGCCATATTCTTGAGCCAGTTCCCTCCGTAAAGTACTTGGGTGTTACCATTCAAAGAGAGGTCTGCTGGGACGAGCACATTAACAGTGTGTGCAACCGGGCAAACAAGACCCTGGGGTTCCTAAGGCGCAATCTGAAGATCGGAAACTCAAGCGTGAAAGAAAAAGCCTATAAAGCCTTTGTCCGGCCTATTTTAGAGTATGCGTCTACAGTCTGGGACCCATTTACCCAGAAAAGCATCAACAGGTTGGAGGCGGTCCAGCGACGGGCAGCACGCTTTGTCATGAACCGCTACAGAAACACCTCAAGTGTTGGCAGCATGCTTGAAACACTGGGCTGGTCTACATTGGAAGAACCACGACTATCCAGGCTCACCATGTTGTAAAAGATAAAAAATGGGCTGGTCCACTGCTCCGGAATCAAACAGAAACTCGTTCATCTTCCCCCCTAGACTGCGAAGAAGCCACGACAGACAGTTCCGGCTGGTAAAAACAAGAACAAAGTACAGGAGCTCCTCATTCCTGCCGAAGACAATAGGGGACTGGAACAAGCTTCCAAAAGCAACAGTTGAGGCGGCTACACTCGACACATTAGTGTCTATTGCCGCCTGTATTCCAACCCCCAGTTCATAACACCACTGCTGAGTCGCCCTTGCAACCAGTGAAGCATCCCATTGAAACCCATGCACAGTAACATCGCAAACCCCTCTGAAACATAAGAGCCAGAATGATCAATTCATTGATCGTGGGCCCTCAAAATAAAGAAGAAGAAAATTTTGACATCCAAACAGATGTGATCAGTTAAAGTCCTGAAGGATTTAAGGCTGATTTGTTTCCCTTGAATGGGTTTTAATAACATGAAGTATTAAGAGTCATGCTTGTATTAGATTCACAGAAAAATCCTATTTTCCCCAGCACACCACATACATTTTCGGTTCACCATCTTTTCAAATCTTTTTGGTACACCATCTTTCACTAATGCCTGTGTCCCCCCCCCTCCCCAACTAATGCTTCTGTGCCCCCCCAACTTATGCCTCTCAAACCCCGCCCCCCCACACCAGACTAATGCCTCTGTGTCCCCCTCCCCACCAAACTAATACCTCTCAATGGCAAGATTAAATTCACGGTAACTATGTTCTTTAAATTTAAATCAATAAATTTTTGTAAACACTATTTTAAGGAATCAACAAATTTAATAATCTTTTAATCAATTATATACATCATTATGTAGTTATATTACAAAAAACAGAATCTTGTCACTGTAATGCACATGTCGCCTATCATATAAAATGGCATGTCAGTGACATTTCAGCATAAAGACCTGTAATGGGTGTGTTATAAAAAAAAATTAGCTTAAATAAATAAAGCTATTCAATAAAACCTATTTTGAATAGAAGTTTGTATATTATGTATAAAATGAATTATCAAATTGAACACATCTGGATGGTTTTAATTATAGCAAAGAAACCAAGATAAAATTACAGCTGTACTCTGCCGTTCCATCCATACAAAAATAGTTCTTTTTTTTTTTATCTGATGTTCTTGAGTTACTGCCCCTTCTATTCACACAAAATAGTACTGTCTTGAGGTGATGTTCATAAAATAGCTTTGGAGTCAAAGAATTGTCAAAAGTCAAACTATGGTCTCTTTCAAGACTTTCTCTCTACTTGCATTTCCATCTTGTGGAGCGTGATCTTGTTTGTTTACACACGTGAGATTTTAAGACTTTCTCGTGCAGTGTTCACCTGGTGAATGGCTGAAAAGAAATACCGGGTTGGAGACGGGTTGACACTGTTGCTCAGATTATCCTGGTTGACCATGTTGGCTTTGTTGAGTGAACGGTGGGTGAGCTCAGATCTATGTTTAGTTTTATGCCCCAGTAAAAAATCAAGTCACTTTAACCAGGATTTTGTAAACATTCGATTTATGAAAAAAGTAAGTAATTCTACTTTAGTGGATAATTTAAAAATTACAATTTAATACTAAATAGTAGAAAATAAAAAAAATATTTTATAAACTTAAAAAAACAAAAAACTATCAAATCAAAGGCGAGTTAAATTGCACTAAAAAGTATAAAATAATTGAAGATTTCGTAAAATGCGTTACGCAAAGAAGTGTGCAGAAAATTAACTTTTAAAAAAATGTATATATAAGTGTACATTCAATTCGAATCCTTTTAAGAGATTTTAAAATATTTTTTGACTTTTCAGTGCATTTTAACTCATCTTTAAAATATTTTTTTTTACTAATTGCTTTCATATTGAAGTAACTCATGCACTGTACGTTGAATATTTTACCCTGGTAAATATTATTCAATTAAACATTTTAAATAAAACATTTAAAATTTTCTTTCATGATGTGTTATATCAAAAAACAATCGGCTGCACATTCTATAAAAAATCACTATAACCAGTTAAACCAAAGCATGACATTCAAATAATTAGCCACCAATAACACTTATCTGGCCAGCTAACATACACATTTAAACATATGATCAGTTGTGTCATTAGGAGCACTGCACTTGAAAACCGAGACCTCTTGATTTGCTATATAGAGCTTTGGTACAATGATCTTAAATTCCAATGTTTCAGGTGTTCAAAAACTTTCATGGATAATAACATTTCTATGATGATATTGCTAATGGATTAGCTCCCACATTTTTTAACAAATGCATGCAGCACAAATAGAATTCAATGCCAATATTAGTGAAATGCCAATATTAGTGAAATGCCAATATTAGTGAAATGCCAGTAATTGTGAAATGCCAAGTTTTTTTACTTTGCTAAATATAAGTTACAAAAGATTTCTAAATATTTTATATAAATTTTGGTGTCACCATAATTATTTTCTAAAAAATTTTGTAAAATAAAACTTTGTTCGTATTTATTATTATTTGTTTTTTACAAAAGTAAATAGTGGAATTTAAAAAAAAATCTTTAAAAACTGATATGACATCTGAGCTTACTGGTGGTATGGGCCATCAAGAATCAAATCAACTTACTGATTCTGAATGACCGGTTGCTTAGCCCAATGCTGTGCAGATAGCAACAAAATGTCATCTACAACTTATATAGCTTGCTGAAACAAATTTGTGTAAATCACGATGCAAGATCAAATGCAAGTTCTCTGCAGATGAACAGAATAATGCCTTATTGATAAAAGAAATGGTTAATCCTACTCTAGAGGTATTGAAATATACTTCAGAAATATTTGATGAATTTAGACTGTAACGGTAAATGAAGACCATAGTCTTAATGGGGAAATTTGACTAGGACCCAGTAAAGACAGAAACACATTCCAGTTTTCTCTGGCCTCTTGACTCATAGCAAACAAATTGAGTCATCGATGTAAATCTTGACGAGCACTCTTAGTCTTAGTAGTTTAGTTTTTATATTGTTTTGAGTAACGAGCAATACCATAACTGTCTAACAGGAGGCTGGGTGAAAAATCAATTGATCAGAAGTTTTTCTTTGTCAAAGAGACCTGGCAATTCAAAACTTTCATCCAACACTCGTAAATCACCAAAGTATCAGTCACATCAAGAAGTCACTATCTCCAATTTTAAAATAAACAATCAAGAAGTCACTATCTCCAATTGTAAAATAAACAATCAAGAAGTGACTCTCCATTCGTAAATCACCAAAGTATCAGTCACATCAAAAAAGTGACTATCTCCACTTGTAAAGCACCAGGTCCTTCTCAGTAAGAACCCCCAGTAGTTCCTGAGAAATCTGTTTAATATCAATGGCCTTGTCATAGCAAGTCAGGGCCTGTAACTCTTTTTTCTTGCTGTTGTCCCAGACATTAACCTATGAGGATAGAAAACGTTGGCACATAAATACCAGATCCGTGTGTGGCAAATAGTAATCTCACTGACACCATGTGACATGTTTGTATCTTGTTACGCCAGCTCACATAACATTTAAATCATGAATATGGATTCAATTCTTTATCCAATCCAGTAATTGGAAATATTAGCTTAAAATCTCCACAATTAAAAAAAAATTAATTAAGTGTGACGTTCTGCAGTTCTATAAACTATAATCATAAAGTAATTCAGAGAATATTTATTTTATTTAGTTAGTCACCAAGAGGGAAGGATGCAATATATAGAAATTTATTTTAATTTATATGCTAGGCTAATCCATAGATTCTGCTTCACTTCAATGAGCGCATAGATGTGCACATTTCATTGAAAGTTGCACAATATTATTAAACACATAGCACCGGAGCATAAACTACTCCACAGTTTTACATCAACATTTCCAGTTTTATTTTCTATGATGTAACTTTACACTCAATGGCACTCTCCCAACTCACCGTGTTACTGGAGTGGTTGGCTGTGACAGCCATCAATTCGTGGTTTTCAGATTCTGGCCGTGAGAACAAAGCATTCCGACTGATTACCGCCTGCATGCTGCCCCCATCCCACACAGCTTGCCGAGAGGAAGAGACCAATCTGCCTTCACTGTCTGAATCAGTTTGAGACAGTTGACAAATCTGTGAATACGTGGCAACAAGGTTAGATGTTAGAATATATAATTAGAGGTAACCCAACATGGCATGGAAAATGACAGATCATTCTACTTCACATTCTGGCCAAACCTTCATGTAACATCAAAGTCAAATTGTTCCATGGTTATGTTGCAGTTGTCTGCAGCAACTCGGAGCTTAGAACAGATTAATTAGATTAATGCTACTGATCCATACAATAAAAAAGAATACACAACAACGTTTTCCCTCCATTACCTCGTATCTACACTTGGTGAGGTTCACACCAGGACGAAATGAAGCAAGAAAGTGACCACTAGTGTGTAGGCTCAAGCTCATCAGTGGGGCTGGAGGAAAACATTCAGAAAGGTGGACATCATTAATATCATCCAAAATTGTATCTTACACACAACAATTAAGAGAAGATGTTAACACCACTCTGAGGGAAAGTCGTGTAGGAGCAGGTCCTCTCCGTGCGGCCATAGAAACAATTTCAAAGTCTAGAACTCCGTTGCTTTCTCCTAGCCCCCTACAAGGTTGATGCGTAGTAAACCAGTAACAATTTAAAAAAATCATGAGATGGTTTGAATAATCAGTATTCTTTAATTATTTATATACTGTGTTAAGCACAGTGCACAATAATGACAAACCAGTAATATTGGCGCTCACAGGAGAAGAAAGGAAACCTGTTCACCATTCGAATTTGTAATCAGCTCAACAAACTAAGAACTCACTCTTTAAAAAAAATGGCTTCTTGTCGCTCACAACAATAATTACAGACTACTCTTCACCACAGGTTTTTTTTGCAACACACCGCCACGGTCATACGCCATAGCTCATTCCTGGCTGAGTAAAATTGGTGGGATACAAGAGGAAGTAACTGAAGGAAAAACAATCGCTAACTCACACAACATCACAATTAGACACAGAACGACATCACATGATCTGACCATGACAACTACAACGACCAGGATGTTAAGACAGTGAATATATTCTTACCCTGTAAGTGAGGTAAAATATGAGTGGTAAAACTGTCACTGACTTGTTCCTTGAAAATTAAGTTCTGTAACTGTGCAATCAGCAAACCTTGGAGTCTGGCATGATTTTTACAAAGAAATTGGAATTAAAAACCAGTAATCTCGAACATTAAAAATAAGTGTTTAGCCAACACCAACCACTTGTACAGTGTTAAACTTCCACTACCATCACAGTCCACACTCTTACACTTCATTTTCTGTGTTACACTGTCCTTGTCGCTACTCACCCCACCCACCCCTTGGAGGTTTCATTCTTACCCATGATGCCCCTGACAGTGTCCCACTTACCCTTGTTACCCCCCCCCCACCCCCGACAGTGTCCCACTTACCCTTGTTGCCCCCTGACAGTGATCCACTTACCCTTCTTGCCCCCTTACAGTGTCCCACTTACCCTTCTTGCCCCCTGATAGTGATCCACTTACCATTCTTGCCCCCCCGACAGTCTCCCACTTACCCTTGTTGCCCCCCTGATACACCAACAAACTGAAGACTACTGATGGGGCTGCCGCCATTATTCAAAATTTCTTGAACATGAGAGTCAGTCCTCCTGATGTCAAACTCCATGACGAGCCCCTTCTCCATCCCAGCGTAGAAAATGTTTGTGTTGGCCGTATTCCAAACACAACACCACACCGAACTGTTCACGTTGTATCTGTCAAACACGAAGGAACTCTTCAGGTTATTGTTTTTAAGATTTTTTAAAAGTTTTATATGTAATGCAGTTTAACTTATATCAAGACCACCCCTCCTTTTAAATGCATTATGTTTTCATATGTTTTCATATTTACCTTAAGAGAGTACAATAAAGACTCATGCCATGTTATAAGATACACTTAATTAATTACTCCGCCAGTTTTACTCCCCAAGAGTTGCTCGGTAATTATCAACAAGAATCATGAATGTACCAAGCATTAAGCAACAATCAATTAGAATACCTTAACCCCTCCTCTGCCATCAGTGTTATTATAACTGTGCAGTTTCCTAAGTCATGTGCAACACACACACACAATCCCCCCCCCCCCCCCCCCCCCCCCCGCCATCTTTTAAAATGGTAAAATAATGACAATGTTATTGAATGCAATGAAGCGAGTAAATCAAGAAGATGTACAGCTTTATTTCTATAAATATAAAAGTAAAATGATTTCTTCAACATCATCTTTTTTTTTTTACTGTGACAGCTAATAGGTTAATTTGCTTTGGAGAACTCACTTTTGAATAACAACTTTGCTGGTGACACTGGACAGTTGAATCGATTTGTCCATCCCGCAACTCAGGAGCTGACCATCGTGTGATGCTGGCCTAAAGCATATGTCTCGTATTGCAGCGGCATGAAGAGGTTGATAAGACAATGGTTTGAAATCTCGAGACAGCATCTGGAACAGAGAAAAAATTAGTGATTAAAAGAGGCATGTTTTGGACCTTAATTTCAATGCACTTAAAAGTTAATACAAAACTTCAGCTTATGGGTACAGGAAAACAAAAGATGGAGTTAATGGAGCACGCTATTGTCATTTAATAAATTACTTGGATGTATAAATAACTAGCATTTTATAGGAAAGTTGAAAGTTTCTTCTAACCACTTCCATACCATGAATGTGAGTCAAAGAATACTTCATATTCTCTGTTATTTATCTTAATTTTTTTCCCCAGCTGACATTTCTTTTTCCATCAATTTCAAAACCAACGCCATCCGACTATTAGTTATGAAGCTATTTAATGATTTCTTTTGTCCCAGATAAGTTTTGTCTGGATCAGAATTTAAACTGATAATAATCAGACTTTAAAATTTTTTGGCAGATCATGATCATTGAACGAGAAAGATGAGATCTTCAGTTTACTTAATTTATTTTTTTAGAAGCCACAGTAAATAATTGCTAATTTAACTTCATACCTTAATTCCAAATCCCCTGAAGAGAGCATTTGGAGATTTCTGTGAGACAACCGCAATGCCTAATTCTCTGCAGTAATCAAATACGCGACAGTTAGCATCCTGGAAAATAAATTTGGAAATTTCAGAAAATATTAATATAAAAATTAATGACATATTTAATTTACTGAGTACAGTTCATAGGCTATCAGGCCTTTCTAGCATCTTTAAGTTTTCCAGAGTGCTGAAGAAAATTGTCATATAAAAAAAATAAATAACTTAAAAAAAATAAATAACTTAAAAAAAATAAGATCCACACTAAGATCCACACTATCCATCCCAATTAATTTAAACACACAACAGTTTTGGTCATCCAAATATTATTATTAGTTTATATTTGTTTAAAAACTTCGTGCTCAAGTTCTGTGAGGTTCAGCTGGTCATTAATAAATATTACAGGTTTTGAAAATGGCTGCTGAGTTTAGAGCAATATTGTCCCCATTATAATTGTACTAAAATTCTTACATCTAGAAAAATAAAATATTTCTTATGGTCTTCTGGGGAATGAATAATTAATTAATTCTTTTTTAGCTTCATTAAGGAAGTCACATTTTACAAAACAATAGTCCAATCATATCATTCCAAATTTTCTCGCAGTCAAATACAATATTAAATTATAGTTAAACCTTTGTCTAACTTGCACAATGGAACAAAATGTACAGCTCCATTTAATCAATTTCAATTTATCATAATATTTATAAGTTCACATAAATACGCACTTAAAATATAAGTTCACATGAATTTTTTTAAATCTAAAAATGTAAGTATTTACATTTCTTGGTCTAATCACATCTTTAAATGACCAATTACCTGAGGTGCAATGTTAATCCTTTGTATAGGCTGGTATTTCTTGTTACTGTTGGGATGACTCGTGCTTACATTAATAAAGCTATTTTGGGAAGATGTACTGGTCGTCGGAATAGGACTGCAGATATGAACACATTAAATTTGTTTCACTGCTGAAAAATAAGGCTAGCACAGCTGTAACATGCTTGTCAATCTGATAAACACCTTTCAGTGTGTTTAAGACTTTGATTGAAGTTAAGACCTTATCACTTGGGGTCATACGGGACACATCATTAAAGTATTGTACGCTTTTTTCAATATGTCACCTACTTAGTGATGTCTCCAGATTGTCTTATTATCTATTTGTTAAATAAAACTTATTTTTATTGATAAGAGACATATAACTACAGTGCTGTCTACACTAACATTACCAAAATGTCATTAATAATTTCAAACAACAAGAAGGTTTAAAAAAAAAATCTGTTTTAGTCCATGCAACTGTTCCAAACATTTACAAATAAATGACTAGCAAATAAAAAGAAAACATGGATGAACATCTACAGAGCACGAAAGAAACGGAACATTTAGCGTTTACCCTCCGCTCAGTGAGACCTGAGCTTTCAGCTGCTTCAGTTCATTTTTTAGGATCTCATATTCTGTATTTCGCGAATCTAACTTATGCCTGGCCTGAGCCTCCTTCTGCTCAAGGACTCTCCTTGCTGCTTTCTCCTCCTCCAGCAGTCGGTACGCTCTGTCTCTCTCAGAGGTGTCTTCAGCCTGACAGAATGGATTTATTCTCAATAAAAAAACAAGTTCATCTGTACTTAGCATGCAGTTTAAATTTAAGGTTAATTCTTCCACTTAATCCCTCAACAAAACTTGCAGGTCACTTCTTAAAATAAAAACCGTCCAGTATCATATTTTGTCAAGTCAGTGTAGATGTCATTACTGTATGTAAAAACAAATTGCTTACATATTTATCCGCACGTCTCATTAACTTATTTTAAAAATTCAAAGGTTGAAATAATTTATGTTTGAAAACTACAGGATAAAGAAAATTTAAATGTAGCCCAGAAAAAAATAAAGAACATTAATGACTTACCAAGAGTGACATAAAGAACATTAATGACTTACCAAGAGTGACATAAAGAACATTAATGACTTACCAAGAGTGACATAAAGAACATTAATGACTTACCAAGAGTGACATAAAGAACATTAATGACTTACCAAGAGTGACATAAAGTGACAGGTTCAAATCCTTTACAACACTTACTGTTATTTTCCTGACAAAAATGTTTCTCAAATCACTTTTCTTGGCAGGAGCTTTGCACTGTGGGCAGCAGTGAGCTTGTTCTACCCATTTCAAAATACAGCTGTCAGATACAATATTGCAGGTAGTCACAAATATATTACCAATAGCACACATTTTTGCTATTCTACTGGCAGTGCAATGTGGATAGCACATAATTCCATAGCAGTGCAATGTGGATAGCACATATTTCAATAGCAGTGCAATGTGGATTGCACATATTTCAATAGCCTATATTATTGTTTTACATAAATTTAAAAAAACGAATACAGCCATAAACTTTTCAAGGCACGTAACTGAAATTAAGTACTGGTATTTTTTTAAATATTGTTCATTGTAAACAAGTCACCAAATGTTCAACAGCACAAACCTTCAATCAGAGCTTGAATTACTCTATTTGATCCTTGTTGATCCAGCTTACCTTAGTCCAAACAGATGACCACATTTCAAGCAAGTCACTCTATGTTCTCCGCCCGTAGACCAAGGTTCCAAACACACTGAGCAGCTCTGAAATTCAGACAAAATTTGCATTGGATGGCAACAATCTCATCTCGTGTAACTATCTCTTAGAACTTTTTCATCAATGCCCAGATTATGACTATTTTTTAAACTCTCTTAAAGTTAATTTGTAGCCCATTGAGATTACTTGCCAGTGATATTTGAGAGATAAAATGCACAAGTCCAGAACCCAATTTAAAATAACGTTATGACAGGGTTAATTAATAAATTATCAGAATAATTCTCATTTTTTTTTAAAAAGAAATTAGACAAAAGAACAACTAAATTATTTGAATTTTCCAAGAAAGAAAAAGTTTAAAAAATTTTAAGTTAGGGGAAATATAAAAAATAATAATAATTACAAATCAGTCACAACTCTTATTAGTTAATAGAACCTTTCATATTATTACGAAACTTGTTTGATACATTTGACAATAACACTTTTTTATATTTTAACTTCACTTACATCTTCCTCGTCGTCATTTTCTTCCTTTTCATCTTTTAAAATTTTAGAGTCATTGAAGTTACTATCTTCTACACTTCTTTTTCTTTTCTTTCGTCTCGGTGATGTATAAGGTGTCTAAGAAAATACACAAAAATAGAAGTGATATGAAACCTTCACCAATTATTGGAGTTTCTACAACATAATTTTAGTGTTATGGAATTGTTAGGCACTTACATGTATTGGAGATCTTAATAATTTCAAGTCCAGTAAGGCATAAAGAGATCTGTGGACTGCTTTTAATACTATCACAAGGTTGTCATCTTGAAATTTCTCTTCACATACTTTGGGATCCAAAGATGTAAGTTCAGTGAACTCCTTTAAATTATCTAGAAATTGTATAATGAGTTGTCTAAAAGATTTCTTTTCATCCGTAAGGATTTCAGGCTGTATTTCCCTGGATGTGATACTAGTACCAGGAATGTGTTGAGACGTTGAAGGACCAGTGTCGAGAACTGGCTGATGGTTTCCAGCATTGGGAGGTCCTTCAATTCTTATAAGCTCCTCGGCATTGTTGTTTTCACCATAGGGCAATGAATTCTCGAGTAGTTCATGAGAAAAACGCATGAGCAGTTCATCAAATATGACTCTTTCTTGGTCAAAATGTGGGCAACCGAGAGAAAATATCCTTTCTGCACTTAATCTTGACTTTAAAGTTGAGACAATCCTCAGCAGTTCTGCCATTTCACTTTCATGGAAGAGATCACTTGCTTTGACATGAGCAGAAAATTTATAAGTGTAAGCTGGTTCAGATTTGTATGGTTCGGGCTGAGATTTTGTCTCTGCTTCTGACAACAAATGCTTAGCTTGATCTATTAAATCGCGAATTCTCTTGGAATTCACACGGTTCTGAAATGTTGTTGAGTTAGCTGTTATTTCATCCTCATCTTCAGAAGATTCACTGGAAATAATAAGCTCAATTTCTTCTCCATTTCTAAGAAGAGATTGTGACATGTCTATCCTATTCTGGTTCTTTAAATGAAGATATACTTGAGACACAGACTCCTAGCAGTAGGCCACGACAGCACCTCAAATTTTAGTCTTCTAAAATTATAAAAAATAAAAACTTTAAAAAGAATCACTTCCTTAAAATGTAAGCAAATAACTTGTATAAAAACAGTCTATTCAGTGTTACCAATAAACAATAGTTTCAAGAACTGTTTTTTTTCTTCAAATTTATATAGTCATTACTTAGTTAACTTAGGCAAAATCTCGTTGACTATTTTATCTCATAGTCTATAGTTAGCAGGCCTATATTAGTTTTGTTAAAAGTCATAGTTTATGTAATATGTTTATAATCATTCATAGAGAACATATAGCCTAATTTTAATTTTTATAATTATATCAAATCCCCGATAAATTAATGATTAGGTCTAAGCTGACTGAGGAATGACTTGGTTTGAATAATCTAGCCTTCTAGATTCTAGGTCTGGTCGCTAGTCTAAGCAAAACTAGGCCTAAAATGTGGTAGAGGCAGGTAACTACTATTACTATTAGTATCAGTAATTAGTATTAAGTGGGCTTATGGACTAATCAAAACTGTTCTTAAGGCTAGAGTTTTTAAAAATTATTTATTGTGGGATAAATGTTTAATAAATGATAAATACAGAATCAGTCATCGAAGTCAATTCATACTTAACATTTAAATTCTATAATGATACTAATAGGCCTATACTCGAATAGTAATTCACACAGGTCATACTCATCATACCATGCCATAGGGAGTCATAAAATAAGAATAAGATTTTCTAGATAGGCTAATATGAACTGATGAAAGTTGGCTAATTACCTCTTGAGCGTCATTTATAAAAAAAATTGTGTTGTTAGAGTTTGAAGTGCTATTTAAACAGCTATTGTTTTACTGATAAAATAATTTTTTTTTATTTATGACATTATGTCATTATACATATTCATTTCAACACATAAATAAAAGACAACATTTTTAAATTAATAGTTTTCAAAATAGAAAAATTAAAAATGTAACAATTTAATGTATGAAAAGAAAATAGTGTTTTAGTTTATGCATAGTTCTCCCCAAGCTAAAAAGGAAGTTCTTTAAAATATTATCTCCACAAAAACGATTGCGGAAAATGAACTCATGCACATATGAAGGGAAAAGATTGCAGCTGGTGTCAAACTGTCTTTTCAGATTGCGCTTTGCATGCATCCACAGATTTTCAACATTGTCAACCTTCAGTGTGTGGACACCAGTGTTATTTTTTGTATCTCTCTATGCCCCTGAAAACCCAGTAACCCTCTCTCTAGTGTACTATTAACATTAAAGACATCAATAAAAATAAATGGCACTTTTAAATTAAATCAGATTTCAGAATGATATTTTTTAATCACTGAAGCGTATATTACAGAAAGTTGTAGTAAGGAATGGACTAGTAAGGTAGGGAGGAAACCTTTAGTAAACTAGCCACTTTAGCCCAAGTCAACGAAGTTCACAAATAGTAAAAAGGCTCAATGGGGGCCTACTGAGTAGTAGCCAACTCAAACTCAAAATTTTGAAACTTGTATGAATTAAAATATCAAAAAATTATTCATTATTAATTAACAGCAAGCAATTGATTAGTTAGTATTATTACAAATGCTAATAGTATTTTATATGTTGCGTATTATTTAATTTAGACTTAAAATCTTTCAACGTCATCAACTTAGCCAGTTCAGTAATGGGAATTGTCTACAATAAAAAAGAGAAAACTAAATATTTTATAGATAACTTCTTATATTTATTTGGATCGATTAAGAAGTAAACATACCAGTTTCGATTTCGCACCTTAATTTTTCGACAATAACCGATTTTGAAGCAAGTTTAATATAAAATGATTTGAGGTAGAGAACCTTTTATGCGCTGAAACTGAATATAAACAACTAAGTCTACTTAAACTCATAAAAAATATTTTCAATATTTTATACAATATTGTTCTGTTAAATGTTGAATTTATTTTTGTGTGTGCATTAATTAAACATTTTACATTTAGATAGGAAATATAATTTTTCAAATGTAATAGTCAAGCTGGCCAACTGGGTGATTTAACGTGCTTTTTTCAAAAATGTAATTTTTAATTTACAGGAACAAACTTGACAAAAACACATTTTATTAATTGTAAACAAAGCAACATTAAAATTGTTTTAAATAAAGCAATCTCTAAAAACAAAAATGTTCGTATAAATCCTTTACAAAATGTAATATCGAGCAATTGTTGGGGGGGGGTTTTTAAAATTAAAAATTAAAACAAAAATAATGATCTAAATATGAACATTCCCGTCACTACTGCACCTAGGGGGGAGCTATCCAATCCCTTGAACCCATTTTAAATTCAAAAGNTATATATATATATATATATATATATATATATATATATATATATATATGCATTTACCTTTAAAAGTAACGAAAGTCTAAATTACCCTTCCTAAATATGCATGTCAAAAGTCTTGAAAATTGTCATAATTTTTAATATTTTTTTTTTTAAAGAATACAATACATAAAAAATCGATTCAGTTACATTCTTAAAAATTAGATTTTAGATGTTGAGACATCGCAAGAATAGTTTGAAAGTATCGCGATATGCGGTTCCATTATTGTACCGGTAACACCGGGTCTCATACATTCTAGTTTTTCAATAAGAAAATGCCGTTTTAAGCCAATAAGTGCAACGTAAAATAATTTTCAAATACCACTCACCGACTCCTTGACTCACCGATCCCCTCATGTAAACAACAACGAATACCATGAATTTGCACGTGGTTTATTTTGACATGCTATAGATGTTAAAATTAAAGAAATAATATTCTTTACATACATAAAAAATATAACTCAACTATTTTTAAAAATAGGAATTAATATTAATACAGTTTAGAGGCGTGAAAAAGGGACTAAAATGGGAAGGAGGCAGTGGGGTAGCTAGGGTTGGTGTCACCCGGTGCAGTAAACTCATGGTGTCACCCCCTGCCCTTACTTCCACGATGTATTTCTTCTTGTTAAAATAAGTCCACATTATAACAATGACAAGAAGAAAATCAAATTAATTGAAGGACACGAGGTCAATGTATTAAAAAAATGTAACAACTCTAAGTTATAGCTATTTGTACATTAAATTGACTTTATTCAAAATGTTCCTTTCCTGGATGGCAAAGCTGCGAACCTGTCAAACATTTAATAAAAGTCAATTTCCTCACACCGTATCACTTTCCATTGATAGTAGAGCCATGTCAAAAAGTTTTGACTGTCCCATGGTGGATTGTAAATAGTTCTTGATGAGCCTTAGTTTTGAAAAGCTCCGCTCACATGAAGTCACAGACACATATTGTAAGAAACAATGAAAGGCTTAGTGAGAGTATTCGAAGAGATTCTAGGAATTCCCATTCAGCTATGAATTTCAAAACATTAAATACTGTCCAGTCCATGACTTTCTGAAATTCAATATGATAATCATTTAGGAGTCTTCTAAGCCTTGGTATTTCTTTTAAAAGTTCTCACTCTGATAACTAATCATAGAAAGAGGTTAATTTGGGAACGGACACCAATAACTCTTCTTCGCTTGCTGATAGTAGAATCTTTGGTTGAACAGCCCGAAACTTATCTATATTCTTGTTTTGGACTTCAGAATGAAAGCGTTCACTCCAGCATCTTCCAACTGTTTTCTTCTCACAGAGAGAATCCAGCATCCATTAATTGTTCTCCTACCATTCTCTTCTTAAACCTAAAACTTCTCTCTACCGAAATTATATATTGGACTGATTTTAAACGTACATTTTCAATAGCATGTTCTATCAAATGACAGCGCTTCTCGTGCAAAAACAATCTTATGGCCTCTAGTTTGGTTACCACTTAGTCAAGAGTTAAACCTTTCGTCTACAGGTACTTCTGCATCAGCCCAAAGGTAAAGGTAGCAGATAACATGAAATCAAAGACAGCACGTAAAAGACCTTGTGCTGTGTGATAATCATGTAAAGTGGCAATGCTAGTGATGAATCACCGACAATATTTTTTAAAATAGTATTTATGGGTTTCAATATATTTTGTTTCAAAAACTTTAAAAAAAAAAAAATTAAATAAATTTATATGAATTATTAAAAGATATTAGAAAGTTTTGTAAAATATTACCTCTAAATGGTTAAAAATCTATTTTTAAATTTGTTATTAATTTTTACCGATTCGATTCATGTGCTTAGAATCGTGCGACCACATCTTATTTGGTATCAAGGGGCAGATTTATTTCTCAGATTTTAGATAAATAAAAGCTTCTTGTCACTTAACAAAGTTACCGACCACTTCAATCGGCGTTGAATCATGGTCAAAACGGTGTTTTCTGACCTAATTATAGAGTAGCCTCATTGCTAACGCATCAACCTTGAACTTCTAATAAAGCACGCATTTGGATTGATTACATGTGTGGAAAATTAACGTGTAATCGGTTATAATTTTATGAAATTCAGTTAGACCGAGCAGTGCGTGTTCTGTAAATATGCAATTTTTCAATTTTGTGTCACCCCCTGAGCGGTCCTCACCCCCCAAAACACCCTTGCTACTCGACTGGTAGGGGGTAAATTTTAAGAGGAATATCGCCAAGGCAAAATATGTTTACATATTTGTACTTGGATTTAACTTTCACTTTTAAAAAGTAAGATGGGCTGTTGGAATATTTAAATAAAGTTGTTTTTTTTTTAAAATGAGTGGTGATGTTCGTAGCGGGCGGGGGCGGAGCTAGCTCACCACGGTCCCAAAGCAACTGTTTAGACGCCCCCCCACCCTCAAACACCAACAGTCACATTTCGGCAAAATTTGCGTGTCGTAATTTGTGGATGGCCCCTATTTCAAATATAATTTGATATATTAATAATAATAGGGGAAATAACTGATGAAAAAAAAGAGCGAAACATTGAACACGAGTGTCAGACCTTCAAAAGAGAATGGTCATCTTAGTATAAGCCAAAATTAAACCCATCATTTTGAATTTATATTTTTTAAAAATTAGGTGAAGTGGCTTATGTTATTATATTTAATATTATTACATGAACTTAATATTTTGGTGT